TTGGTCTGAGTTGGTTTAGAAATCAATTCTGAGAATAATCCTTATAGAGAGCAGATGCAGAGATGACGTTAACGGACAGTACCTGATGTGTCTTCCTTTTATACAGTACAAACAAAAAAGCTGTTACAACCATTCATTTATTGAGTACATATAAGATTTTGTGAAATTATTAAAATTAATTAAAAAATCTAATAAAAAACCCATTCATAATATATGAATAGCTTATATATATATACTGTGTATATATATTATACTTATTATATATTTTTTGCTATATTGATTAATAAAAATAAATAAATAAAAAACAATAAATTTTAATTACATAGATACATTACATACATTACAAAAAAATATTTTTACATGTATATATATATATATATATAATCTTTTTAATGAAAGATAGATAGATAGATAGATAGATAGATAGATAGATAGATAGATAGATAGATATCTGTATATAATATTTTTTTAAATAAATAAAACAATGATATGTAGCCTATAGCCTATATTTATGTTTTTCATCTTTTTAATGAATACATTTGTATGTGTTAAAATGTATACACACATATTTTTAAGAATACTTAACTAGTTTGTGTTTATTTAAAAAATATATATTTAAAAAATATTTTACCTTTTTGCAGGTGGTAATAAATAAAAGGAAAAATAATATTGTTTTCTATTATGCATTCTGTTATGGGTTGTATGTGGCCATATGGTGTTTTCATGTTTTCCTTTAAGTTTAGTGTTTGTGCATGTAGGCTATGAGATCTGCAAAGTTACAAAGCTCAAAGTCACCCACAAAAATATATTCTAATATCTAAAAGAGAAGATCCAGATCTAAAACGCCTCGATTTAATTCTCCAACACCGACCTAGGGGGGAAATATTAGCATAATGCCGTCCAAATATGCAAATAAAGAAGGCGTGGCTTCCGCTGTATTGTTGTTGAGCTGTGTTTCTATGCGGAAGCAAAAGCACTTTATTTGGCCTTCCAAAAGTGGACGCAATTAGGAATCTGATGTTAAGATGTATTTACAACACTGTTCCAGAACAATAGGTACAAGTACAACCCAAATGTTAAAATGTTTTATGGAGGACAGTTTCCTGAACCTGGGGGAGTATGCCTACATCGTATCTGGAAGGTATGAGTTTCAAATTAAAAACTTACACTGTGAAACATTCTGCTGAAGTAACGCTTGAAAAGTTTCGATCATCAGCATTTTCAGAATCTGACTCGGGTTTGAACTGATATGACAAAACTGATGACATTATTAACTGTCTTTATAATTACTTTGAAAGCTGAAGCTCGCGATTATGGTAAGAGTTGTTAAATTTATGACCAACATTTTTGTCCAATCACAACGCACCGGGTCAGCTGGCCAATCAGAGCACACTGCGCTTTCCGGAAGGAGGAGCTTTGTAGAAACCGGCACGTTTTAGAAAGACTGTGAATAGAGGAGCTGCAATAAAGTACAGTAAGTGACAAATAATGTAATTTTGAGCATTAACTCATGTTAATTCTATTACACCCAACACACAAAATAATAATCTTTGAAAATATCACAATATGACCCCGCCTTTACCTATTCCATTAGGCGTTGTTTAGTGATCAAATATAGCTGAATAAGCGAGGCCACGCATTCACGAGAGTCTGTAGTCCAGGTGTGGACACAGTTCTGATGTAAGTCATGTAACGTTAGATCTGCTCCTGCTCATGTGGAGAACAAGAGCGCCGGATGTTTGCTCACACTAAAGCTGTCGCCATGGCTACGAAGATACCCGTCCGTCAGCGCGAGCAGATGCGCGTCATTGTTCGCACTGACATCATCGCACTTCCTGTTTCTAAGATGACAACCAGGGGAACTTCTCTCGTTATTTGCAAGTTAACTAAAGTAGCCTCGCGGTCTCTGCACCACGCGTTCCCATTGAACGCATTTCAGCAGCGTCTTTTTGCTCTCATATTAGGCGAAATGACACCTTTGCAGGTTTGTGATGATGATGAAAGACATGAAGTAATGGGGGGGGGCGGATCACCATGGGAACATAACAGGTAAACAGAGGAGCGTCAGATAAGAGAATGATCTTTGATCAAACCAGCATATTCTCACACTTCATAAACCCACCTAGCTAGGGTATACTCATTGATAATAACCCTGCACTTTATACCTTCCTTCGGTTTATCTACACATTCAGAGTTCAAATAGAATTAGCTGGAAGTGCAGAAAGACGGGTGTCGATTGTTAAATTGGAAGAAATAAATCAATTGTGATATGAATGACATTTAATTAATTAACTTTTACGTGTATTTATTTATTAACTTTATTTATAATAATAATAATATGCAAGAATCCATTCAATCTAAAAAATGTAGGCCTTTCTGCTAAGATAAACTTCAAAAAGGCAAAAGGACTACTAAGGTGGACTTAATATTAAGACAGCTGGTTCACATACTTTTCCATTCAGCCTTTGTGTAAATTTTTCTCCTGATAAATCCTTCCGCACTATAATAAATTGTATAGGGTTAGGAAAAAGCCATGTCTCTAGTGCAACACACAACTCATCTTCTGCTGGACTTTAATAAACACTCATCCAAGTAAAGCAAACACTTAGAGCAGGAGAGCATTTCCAAATGGGTCAATAATGAGGGAAAAAAATGGAAATCCATAACAAGAAGGAACGTTTTACTGGAATTTATTTAGCCTAATGCTGGATAAGATCAGATAAAATTCAGTGTCCTGGCTAGCATACTGAAACAAACAGGAACAAATGAAATATAGGCTTAATATATTGGATCAGGGTCGCATTCGGCGTGAGACTCACGCAGTTGACACTGTTCTCAGGCTCTCACGACACTATTTCAATAAAACAGCTTTTAAACAATATGTCACGTAACATTGTATATTTACCGCAGAAAAGCCATTCTGTGTCCATAAACTCTATATGTGACAGACGTAGGCCAGTAAGAGCTGTGTGTGTGTGTGTGTGTAAACCTCACTCCCCTGGCCTCAAGAAGTGCGCAAGCGACTGATGCTAGAGTTTTAGCATCCTTGTTAGCATGCCCGCCTCCGCCGCCAGAGACACCGGATTGGGTCGAGTAGGACCAGTGACATAAACAGGGTTTGTAGAAGGTGCTTGAAGTACTTGAATTTGACTTTTTAAAATTGAAGTCCTGGAAAACCCTTGAAAACAGCCATATATTTGAAAAGTGCTTGAATTATTGAAAGACAATGTGAAATTAGTGCTTCATTTTATTGATAAAACAATCTTTTCATGCAAAATTGCTCATATAAATATCCAAGTATATGTTAGAGCTTTCGTTCTTCAGAAGAAAAATTAATCATATTGAGAGAAAAAAATCAGTTTGAATAAGAATATCTTTGACTAGTTGAAATGACCAGTCATTGCATTTGCTGCACTTTATTTTTTTTTTACCGTTTTTATTAATTTATTTGTATCTATTTACCTTATTTAGACTTTGAAGGATAATAAAGATATTGTTTGTTAAGTGATATCTCTGATTGTAGTCATTGAAAACCAAAAAAGTAATGCTTGAAAAGTCCTTGAATTTCATTTTACAGTATCTGTACAAAACCTGCATATAGATATCAAGAAATATGCTGTCTAGTTTTTTTTTTACACTATATTATATATATTTTTTACTCTTGTATAATTAAAAAAAATGGTCTTATATGCAGTTGTATACAAATCAGTTGATTTTTAACCTTTATTAACAAGAGAACGATATCACCTTCAGAAAAAGTAACATGTAGCCTACTAGGTTCATGCATATATCCAAATGAATCATATTGAATTTCAAGCTTATGAATCATTATTCCCCTGCAGCAATAATTGTCACTCCAAGCTGAACTCAAGTCGGCAGACCTGTATTGAATTCTGTCTCGAAATTTGTCACTTTGGAATAAAGCGTTTGCTAAATGCATAACTGTGAAAATGAAATGAAAACCATTCTGTCAAACAATATAGATATAAAAACAAGTTCCAGTTTCATGTCGCATCTATTTAGGTACACCTATAAAATTGACTTCCATAAAAACAAGAAACGAAAACATTTGAAAATGACAGGCTTTGCAGGTTTCAGATAGGCACTATTTAGGTCAAGACACAGATTGCTTATATAGTTCAAATGTGCAAAAAGGAATTTAAAACTATGCTAACAAAACCAAGACATTCATTAGGTCATTGACATTTAGGTCAAAACACTTGATTTGCACTTACAACAGCCGAGCAAATACACGCCATTAACATCTCGACTACCGGTTTCCACAGAACAGCTAAAAACAGTATAAATCTCTACAGTTTCTCACTGTAATTACATAAACTGTTTATAAGTGAAATAAATCAAAAGAGCCTCGTGGAAATAAAAATGTACAGAAGTGGATATAGAGAGAGACAGTTGGACTACAGGTAGTGAATCACAACTGCCCTCTGGTGGCAGAACAATAAAGATGCATACATTTCTTAAAGAGATAAATACATGCACAGAATCTTTCTTAAATTATTTAATGTCTTTCAACTTCTCTTCATTCATGTCCATGCATTCTAGCAGCTACATTATAATAACGTAATGTAGATTATGGAATAAATGTACTCTCCAAATCTGAAAATGAAGAGAGGATAAACTTCCAGATAAAATGCAGTACTCAAACAGCACACACAAATGTTGCATGCAAACAACAATGAGGGATGACATACAATAAAACGAACATTGTATCTAGCTACATAATTAAATTAAATAAAAAACTAGAACTAAAAAAAGAAACCACATTTGAACATATTTTACCCTATGATTTAACCAGACTCAACGACAGAAAAGGAGAGAAAACCGTGACATATACAAAATAAACAATGATGCTGTGCTTGTTTAAATGGACAATTAGCCGAGATGTTATTATTTTAAATTGAGCATTCAATCTATCTGTACAGGAACACAAGCTAACAGGAAGACAGTGATGAGGGGTATCGCATTTAAATAGGGTTTTTAAGAGAACAGCACCATCAATCACGCTTCTTTTCCTTGATCAGCCTGTCGGCGTTGTGTGCAAAAGTTTCAGCCACTAAAAGTGGAAAGACTATAGAAGCATCAGCATAAACCTGCACAGAAACACAACAGCACAGTTAACCAGATCAGCATATGTGGCGAGTGTAATAGCTGCATGTATGTGATATTTATAACAAGAGCATGCCAACATATGAGCCTTACCTTTACAGGAGTGGCATCCATGCGGATCTTTCCCCAAGAGACGGCTTCATCGGGCCTGGCGCCGGAATCAGAGCCGTCAAACTCCTGCCCAGTGTTGACAAACACCGCAAAATCTGCTCCATTCCTCTGAGAGACACCAAAAACAGATGAGAGATTTTTATTTCCAATGAGTCGAGATCATTGTGCTTTTTGAGGTTCATATGATTACCATGAGATTAGCGTTGGAGACGTGATGCTTGACGAGGCCTCCTCCGAGAATGATCATCCCCGTGGTCTTGGCAAACACGGCCTTGCTGTTCAACCTCCGAATATCTGACGTACACGACATGAAAATGACAAGTAAGATTTGTAAAATAATCTCCAGATTGCGTTCGCATCACATCTTGGGCGACTCACCCTCCACAATGTCAAGCACTAGTCCGGGGTTCTTATAGGAGTGGAAGTAGATCATATCACCCAATGAGCCGTCAGTGAGGGCGGGGCTAAACACTGGGATGTCATTCTGAAAAAACAATCGTCCAATCAGTAAGATGTCCATTTGAGGAAGGACTGATACAGGTGACTGATGTGTCTGTAATTCAAACATTACCTTATAGGCCCAGTAGTACACCGATTCTGGGTTGTTGATTTCTTTGCCAAGTCTGTGGATCATTTTGGAGGGTGTCCAGTGTGTGCCCTGATGTAAAAACATTTAACAATATTGCATATTCTCACTTACAAGAAAAACTTCAATATGCAAGCCAAATGCAACTAAAATCAATGTATCACCTCTGTTATCAGATCTTTTCCAGCATCATTTGGTCAAAAATGGGCATTTTTACAAATATTTAACCACTCAATTAAATAAAATAAAGTAAAGGAACGTAAAATACAATTATATTAAATTAAATTCACCTTTTGTTCCAGCATAATTTGGTCAAAAATAGCCATTTTTACAAATATTTAACCTCCCAAATATAATAAAATAAAACAAAACCTTTTGTTCCAGCATAATTTGGTCAAAAATAGGCATCTTTACAAATATTTAACCTCCCAATTTAATACTAATAAAAAAAGTAAAGTACGGTAATATAAAATAAAAAATAAAACTTCACCTCTGTTTTTTGTTCCAGCACCATTAGGTCAAAAATAGGTATTTTTACAAATATTTAACCACCCAAATAAAATAAAATAATAAAATAAAATATTTTGTTCCAGCACCATTTGGTCCAAAATAGGCTTTTTAAACAAACACTTAACCACCCAATTTAATACTAATAAATTTTTTTTTCAAAAGTAAAATAAAATAAAAAAAACTTCTCACCTCTGTTTTTTGTTCCAGCACCATTTGGTCCAGAATAGGTACCAGCCAGTCTTCAAACTTACAGTAATTATCATTTGGTACCAGGAGATTACCTATTCTGTGACAAAGTATAATTAAATGTATTAATAATTACATATAAACACCACAATGATCTAATCAGGAGCCGTTTACTCACCTATTAATGCCTTGCTGTCGTAGCTCTTTGCCTTTTAGACTGAAGTCTCCAAGGTAAGTGGGTCCTAAACATTTTATAATGTCTTCTTCAATCCCTCCTGCTGTGCTCACGATCACATCAACCTACAAACACATCAAATAATTCAACATAAAATAGATTATTTTCATTGCATAACAACAGAATAGATGGTGAATACTGAACGAGAAGCGTAATAGTGCTTGTTCACCGGGACGGTCGTACCATTCTGTGCTGTGCGAGGTAGCGAATGGTCTCTCGTACACCGGAGCTTATCAGGTTTGACGTGTAGCCCAGGAAAATAGTGCATCCTGAACGAGTCTGATCCTCGTAGCCCTCGATCTCGTCCTCCACCGGCTCCAGTCTCTTCTCTATCTACTCCGACCACAGACATGAGAAAGAAAAACACTTGGAGTCATGTGTGATTTTAAGAGCTACAATATGAGTTAACAGACACAGGTAGTATACGACATCACACGATGCTCCTTTCAATTACAAAAGCAATTTGTAATTGATAAAACAAGCCCAACAAACAAATTGCATGTTTCTGTAATACTTGAACATTTATTATTAAAGGAGAACTCCGGCGCAAAATGAACCTTTGGTCTAATTACACATTGTTACCTAGTCAACCGTTATCTGAGATTTGTTTTCATGATTATCGAATGTAAATAGTTTTATCTCTAAAAACAGTTTAGCCTATAAAGCTAGTATAACGCAAAGGTTCATTTTGCGCCGGAGTTCTCCTTTAAGTCACACTTATTGGGTTATTATATAGAGGGAATGCATTAACGTCACTTTCCCGCCAGAACACGCCCCCCTCAGCCGGACTGAGTGGCAGAAGAGCTGCTGCATGACTGGAGTTAATAGGGGAAACTGCGAAAACGCGAGTAAAACAAACTATTATCAGTTTAAACTAAAAGTTGGACTCGATATAGTGTTCCTTACAACTTATCAAAGATCCAGGGATCCATGGATATAGACATGCAGCCAGGAATCGTGTTTCCTGACATTTATATGTGCCTGATTTCAACGCCGGGGAAATAAATTAAGAAAATTTGCCTGTAAACGTTTTATATTTATACAATATAGATAGGTCTAAATCCGAGTGATCACTTACATTAATGTTATACTGTATATCATCATATCGTCCAGCCCTAAAACTCAGTGTTTATTTAAAAACATCCAATTATGCAGAATATAGTCTGTTCTGTAGCTTTTTGCAGTCTGTAAAAATATACAGTACCTCAGATTTCTGGTCAAATCTAGTTGTACAGTCAATCGCAAAGCTCTTTCCCGTTTTAGATGTGTTTTGTGTGATTTTCACGGCATTCACGCTGAAAACAAATGCTGCCGCTCAGTCTTTTTGCCACTTGTGGGCGTGACCGCATTCACTCCGGCCGACGGTGACGTCATGCGCATACCCTCTATAATGTTATTTATACCACATTGATAAGCTATTAGTATTTGATGTTCCTTCAAATACGAATATACAGTGGCCCCCGAAAAAGTATTTGGACACTCAGGCAAGTTTATTATTATTCTGAATGTCTTTGTGTAAGATAAACCATTTCACATAGGTTTGAAAAGTTTTAATAAATATTATTAAAATACATACTGTATGTTCTCGTATGCTCAATGCAGAAGTCTCTGATGCTCACCAAGGCTGCATTTATTTGATCAAAAATGCTGTGAAAACAGCAATATTGTGAAATATTACTGCAATTTAAAAATAGCTGATTTTTTTTTTTAAATGTTATTTATTCCTGTGATCAAAGCTGAATTTTCAGCATCATTACTCCAGTCTTCAGTGTCACATGATCCTTCAGAAATCATTCTAATATGATGATTCGATGCTCAAGAAACATTTTAATAAGTGCTTAATATTTTTGTTGAAACTGTGATACATTTTTTTTTTCAGGATTCTTTGATAAATAGACGGTTAAAAAGAACAGCATTTATTTTATATTGAAATCTTTGTAACATTATAAATTTACTGACTAAAATTATGAATTTATTTCTTTCGTTTGAAAACAAACACCAAACTTCTGAATGATAGTGCATCACAGTTTCCACAACAATATTAAGCAGCAATAACGGTTTTCAAAATTGAAAATAATAAGTAAAAACGCCAAATCAGCATATTAGATCTCGGTGTTGTTGTTGTTTTTGGATAAAGTGTTTGAGAGGGGAGCAGCACTGAGCACTCACTCACCATCCTGTTGATCTCCTGCACGGCCTGGCCGAAGCTGCTGGCCTGGAAGCCCGTGGTGAGGAAGGACTGCAGCAGGGCCTGATGGTCCACCCCCTGGTTGAAGTCATAGCCTTTAATCTGGAGCATGTCCTGCGGGAGAGGGATGCTCTCCTTCAACACTGCGTCCCTCGCCACGGAGGGAGCCAGGTGAGCCATGACGAGCAGCCTGGCTGGTAATGATACACAACCAGCTTATATTACTTATACACACTATTACAGAACAGCACAGTTTCACCAGGGTACAGCTAATAACAGCATGTGGTACTGAATGACTACAATAATCATTTACTATGGTATTTATATGGCACTTCAAAGAATACCATGGTACAATTTATATTCTACCACAGAACTTTTCAACAACTCATGCACATGTTATCTACTAAAAACAGTTATAGACCCCTGCAGTGCTAGATCATTGATTTTAACCGGTCAATAATTGACTGTGTTATATAACGCAAATATAAATACATATTCTATTTGTTTCTGTTTATTTGTATGTCTAAAATAATGTTACACTCACCCCAGTGGTTAAGTATGTAACACCCGGTATGTTAATGTAGTTTATCGCTGATCGCACTCACAGCACCGCACATTTGATCAGCCACATGTTCCAAACTACGGCAAGCGCAGCGGTACAAACTAAATGCAAAACGCGAAGTGACTCCATCGAAGTCACATACTTCCCCACTAGTAGGCGAAAAACAGTATGTGACAAACGAAGTATTGCTGAATTCGAAATTTAATATAACTTTACTGTAATATATAACTAACATTTCAATTGAGACATTTGAAATATGCACTATTTTTAATCGATTGCGTAAATGTGAAATTACAGAGTAATTGATAAAATGCAAATGATTGCTCTGCATAGGAGCACACTATTCTACAAACACAATTCACATTTAATATTCTCATACATATCAGGAGGATAAAGCTATGTGCACACAGTTACACACATTTAAGATTTCATGACCACCGAAGTGAAATCAAATACTACTGAACTTTCGTGACATTTCTGGCACTGTTGATGTGACCTCAGAACTCAACCACATCACAGGACCTTTGAAGCTTCCAGCAGAGAGAGAGAGAGAGAGAGAGAGTGTGTGTGTGTGTGTGTTGGAGGATGGAGGGTTTTCATCATCCCACTGAGTTATAAATGCCTCCAAAAACTGGACACCGGCTCTTCCTCACTGAAACAAGAACATTTGAACTACACAACAAGCCAAATGGACTCTTGAGGTAAAATTACAGCTTCGGCCACGATCTCTCAGACAGATATACATTCATAGATGGTTCAAATAATATATGTTATGCTCAGAGATTTTACATGCTTTCCAGCTGGTGCAAGTCTAAGGTTGAGCAGCAGTGATGGACGTATACTGCAGTAATAACGTTCTTCAGGCCAGGAGAACCGTGGAGCAGCTGCGACTGGAGACAGAACTGCAGAGAGTCAAGGTGAGACGCATTCATCACTGATATAAACTACCACACTTCTTACATTCTAGAGTCTATCTTTTATGGTACATGGCTGAAATTACAACATCTTCAAAGCACTATAATATAAAAAATATAATAAACACTTAAAAATAAATGTTCTTTAAGAGCATCTATGGTTTCATGAAGTTTTGCATTGCACCAAAGGTTCTTTACAGTGGAAAACGGTTATTCAGATTCTAAAAATGTATTTAATTATTTACATTAGGGGAAAAAATGGCTCTTCTAAGGCATCACTGTAAAACACCTCCTTTGGAACTTTTAAGAGTGTATAATATAACATTATTATAATATAATAGTAACGTCTGATCTGGGTTTGAGCAGTGATCTTGTTTGATTTGCACTGTTTTCTGTTAGTTCATGTTTCCTTTGTCATAGTTCATTAGTTGCCTTGGTTTTTGATTTGCCCTCATGTGTTACGTCTGTGTCTAGTTAATTATTGTTTAGTGCTTGTGTGTGTGTGTATATATTTATCCTTCATTTTCAGTTCATATTTAGAGTGGTTGTTCTTTTGAGAGTGTATAATATAATCAGTGTTGGGTAAGTTACTCTAAAAAAGTAATTAATTACATTCCTAATTACATCTTCAACAGTGTAACTGTAATTAGATTACTGTACTTATTGCTCTCTCTAAAGTATTTGCATTGCTTATTAAATTAATAATAAATTCCTAAATCCCACATCAACCTTGACCAGTTGAACAACACGACAGACATGAAACGGCTCCTTTAATTTTTTCAAATAATATATACTTGCATAAATTATTCTTCTCCCTATTTAAAGGGGTTACATTAAAAACATACATTTTGAAATTCGACATTAAATTTTGATGTTAAATCCACTAGTTTTAAATAGAATTGTTCTATAGTCTATCCACTATTCAATGCAATCACATCAAAAGAAACTAATTAAATGACAGAACATAAGAGTAATCCATTACTTTACTTTTTCAAGGGAAAGTAATTAAATGACAGTAATTAATGACTTTGTAATGCATTAAACCCAACACTGAATATCACATGATGTAATATAACTGTCTGTGATGTGTAACATATGTTGGCATGTGTGTGTCAGATTTCGGCAGCAGCGGAGCAGATCGTCCAGTACTGTCAGGAACACAGGAGAGCCGATCCACTGCTCACCGGGATCGCAGCGTCCTCCAACCCGTTCAAAGACAAGAAGACATGCGTGCTGCTGTAATCAACAATCTTACTTTTTATTTGCAGTCTTGAAACGACACCTTGAAAAATCAAACTGAATTATACATTTATAAAGCTTTTGGGAAAAAAATAAGCAATCAAACAAAAAAGAGATTTTGATCACAGGACATTCAGTCAGTCACAGAGCAACTTATAACTCTGCAATTATAAATAATTCATAAATATGGACTTTTTTTTAATTAACTCTATTTATTAGTTTGTTATGGTGTTAAAAGTGTTCACTGACAGTGCATTCATTTTAAAGCACAGTGCCTCATTTTTAAGCTGTGCACTGTATACTTGTATAAGTGCGCTGACAAGTATACAAAAACAAATTGAATCACATCTGGTTTTAATAACCGATTTCCTTGTTTGTGCATTACACATCTAGGGAGCTAAACTGATTTATAATGATTCTTGTTTGTACTAATTTAACTTCACTGTATTATACTATGTTGTTAACATCAATTTTGTTGAAATTTCAAGTAATGATCATCACACAAGCAAACTGGAAACAAATATAGTTGTAAGGAAAACAGAGGTGGTGTTCCTGAAATGTTTAGTGTGCTAACGTAGTCCGACCTCTTCACGGAGAACCATGGACAGCTGGGAATGTCAAGTGTTTGTTTCTATAGACATGTATCAGACACCTAAAACATTGGTTTTCATCTTTTTTCCCAATAAAAGCAGCACATGAATGTTGTTCCCTGCATTGAAATGCTTTTTAAACTCTCAGTTTCTGAGCCTCCAAACCTCCACATTCATGTCACCAGAAGCGATGGCCAGCGTTCCTCCTTCAACACTTAACTGGGAAGAGAAAAACGATGAGCCTTTATTTATGCATGGAAGTATAGACATCTGCTAGATAAGAGTAATGGGAATAATCCAACAGAAATATTTGTGACATAAAGGTTGAGATTTACTTCCATTCAAATCATTCAGCTCAGACATATAGAAATGAGTCAACCTTATTCTACAGTATATCTATGTTATAAAGTGGTGTATCTTTGAAAGTGGCTCATCCAATCAGATTTAAAATGCATTTGTGTTTTGAGTCTTTTTTTAAAATTCAAGTGTTACATAATGTGAAGGTTATTTTGCATTGATTCATTCGTATTTTTTGAATAATCAAATTTTTGATGGTTTGCATCCATCAAATTTCAAATAATAACAATCTAATATAATGAGATTAAGTATCATTCATTTGATAAAAATACTTAATTCACTGGATAAGTCACTGGATAACTAAAAATAGGCGAGATCATATCTACTGTAATGTAATAAATAATGAGATCACGAAATCGGAATATTGTGAAAATTGATGAAAATCTCAATATCGAGGTGCAAATTACTAACAAATTGTATTAATGCAGAATAACTGCACAACTCAGGATAATACGCTTAGTGTTTACACGACAACGGCGTACTGAAAAAGGTTTTCCACTGCTTTTGTCACGTGCAGACGGCAACGTTGTCAAAATGATCCTCGTTCACAAGGATCCGCGAGAACGATTAAAAACGCTGTATTATTCATGCCAGGCCACTAGTTGGCGATGTCACTTTGTAAAGAAACACTATGCGCTGATAGACTGAACACGTGATACGCATGTGAAACCGTTTTCAAAAGTTTGTGTTTTCAGGCCCACAAAACGTGTAAATAAACGGCCAAAACGCATTAAAAAGTTTTATGATTTTAGTTGAAAACGGTGTAGCATAAACAGCCCCTAATTTATGTTCTCTATTAGGAACTAAACGTGTGACCTAAATATCCACCAAAAATATGAACAGTATGTACAATAATGTAGAGATAAATAGCATTACCAAGGTTTTTTAATTTTTTTTTTATGTATGCTTTTGAAAGAAGTCTCTTGTTCTAACGAAGGCTGTAAATGTTTGATCAAAAATACAGTAAAAACAGTAAAATTGTGAAATATTTTTGCAATTTACAATAACTGTTATCAATGCGAGTATATTTTAAAATGTAATTTATTCCTGTGATCAAAGCTGAATTTTCAGCATCATTACTCCAGTCTTCAGTGTCACATGATCCCTCAGAAAACATTCTGATATGATTTTTATTATTATTATCAATGTAACATTATAAAAAGTCTTCATTGTCACTTTTGATAATGCATCCTTGCTGAATAAAAGTATTAACAGTAGTGTATAAGATATATGATTTTGGTCAAACTGCCCACCCATATGACCGCTTGAAAGGAATGTACAAAAAAATACAAATAAAATCATGGTTAAATTAGTCATCGTACCCCATTAACTCCTGCCTGATGGTGAAGTGTGCACAGCGTCTGTGGTGGAGCACATGGGAGGTGGATCTGCACAGAATAAGAGATGTGAGCTGCCGATAACCTTAGATAAATGCCAACATGTTGAGCTGTGGGATGCCTCACCTTGATAGTGCGGTCAGAGGAGCACGTGTAGAGAGTGCCAGGAGAAGAGTGGACACCTGTGACCAGTGACCGGTGGATGTTAAAGTGTGATATGGGCGTCAGGCAGCTGTTGTGCAGGGAGAAGGTGTGCACGAGTCCACGGTTATCCCCGGCCCACACCTCACGACCGCGGTGGCACAGCGACAACAGGTAAGTGCTCAGCTGTGGACATGCGAACAGGAACAAGACTGAAACAGCTGCTTGTAGGAGCACGTCATCTTTTATTATTTTATGTTTAGCTTGTGTGTGAATACCTAAGAAAGCTTGTTCCCACCACAGAATAAAAAATAAAAAAGGTAATTGCGACTGTTTTTCTCAGTATATATCTCGCATTTCTGACTTTTTATCTTACAGTTCAGAGAAATAAATTCATAATTGCGAGATAAAAAGTCGCAATTATCTTTTATAATGTTTTATTCTGTGGGGGAAACAAGCGATTCTGAGAAATTATACAATTGCGAGTTTTTATCTCACAATTCTGAGAAAAGATGTCAGACCTGCGTGATATAAACTCGCAATTGCGAGAAAAAAGTCACAATTGTGAGTTTATTTCTCACAATTTTGACCTTATAACACGCAATTGCGACTTTATTTCAAGCAATTCGGACTTTATATCTCGCAATTCTGAGAAATAAAGTCAGAATTGCACGACGTAAACTCGTAATTGCCAGATAAAAAGTCGCAATTATCTTTTATAATGTTTTATTCTGTGGGGGAAACAAGCGATTCTGAGAAATTATACAATTGCGAGTTTTTATCTCACAATTCTGAGAAAAGATGTCAGACCTGCGTGATATAAACTCGCAATTGCGAGAAAAAAGTCACAATTGTGAGTTTATTTCTCACAATTTTGACCTTATAACACGCAATTGCGACTTTATTTCAAGCAATTCGGACTTTATATCTCGCAATTCTGAGAAATAAAGTCAGAATTGCACGACGTAAACTCGTAATTGTGAGATAAAATGTCGCAATTATCTTTTAAAATGTTTTATTCTGTGGCGGAAACAAGCGATTCTGAGAAATTATACAATTGCGAGTTTTTATCTCACAATTCTGAGAAAAGATGTCAGACCTGCGTGATATAAACTCGCAATTGCGAGAAAAAAGTCACAATTGTGAGTTTATTTCTCACAATTTTGACCTTATAACACGCAATTGCGACTTTATTTCAAGCAATTCGGACTTTATATCTCGCAATTCTGAGAAATAAAGTCAGAATTGCACGACGTAAACTCGTAATTGCCAGATAAAAAGTCGCAATTATCTTTTATAATGTTTTATTCTGTGGGGGAAACAAGCGATTCTGAGAAATTATACAATTGCGAGTTTTTATCTCACAATTCTGAGAAAAGATGTCAGACCTGCGTGATATAAACTCGCAATTGCGAGAAAAAAGTCACAATTGTGAGTTTATTTCTCACAATTTTGACCTTATAACACGCAATTGCGACTTTATTTCAAGCAATTCGGACTTTATATCTCGCAATTCTGAGAAATAAAGTCAGAATTGCACGACGTAAACTCGTAATTGTGAGATAAAATGTCGCAATTATCTTTTAAAATGTTTTATTCTGTGGCGGAAACAAGCGATTCTGAGAAATTATACAATTGCGAGTTTTTATCTCACAATTCTGAGAAAAGATGTCAGACCTGCGTGATATAAACTCGCAATTGCGAGAAAAAAGTCACAATTGTGAGTTTATTTCTCACAATTTTGACCTTATAACACGCAATTGCGACTTTATTTCAAGCAATTCGGACTTTATATCTCGCAATTCTGAGAAATAAAGTCAGAATTGCACGACGTAAACTCGTAATTGTGAGATAAAATGTCGCAATTATCTTTTAAAATGTTTTATTCTGTGGCGGAAACAAGCGATTCTGAGAAATTATACAATTGCGAGTTTTTATCTCACAATTCTGAGAAAAGATGTCAGACCTGCGTGATATAAACTCGCAATTGCGAGAAAAAAGTCACAATTGTGAGTTTATTTCTCACAATTTTGACCTTATAACACGCAATTGCGACTTTATTTCAAGCAATTCGGACTTTATATCTCGCAATTCTGAGAAATAAAGTCAGAATTGCACGACGTAAACTCGTAATTGCCAGATAAAAAGTCGCAATTATCTTTTATAATGTTTTATTCTGTGGGGGAAACAAGCGATTCTGAGAAATTATACAATTGCGAGTTTTTATCTCACAATTCTGAGAAAAGATGTCAGACCTGCGTGATATAAACTCGCAATTGCGAGAAAAAAGTCACAATTGTGAGTTTATTTCTCACAATTTTGACCTTATAACACGCAATTGCGACTTTATTTCAAGCAATTCGGACTTTATATCTCGCAATTCTGAGAAATAAAGTCAGAATTGCACGACGTAAACTCGTAATTGTGAGATAAAATGTCGCAATTATCTTTTAAAATGTTTTATTCTGTGGCGGAAACAAGCGATTCTGAGAAATTATACAATTGCGAGTTTTTATCTCACAATTCTGAGAAAAGATGTCAGACCTGCGTGATATAAACTCGCAATTGCGAGAAAAAAGTCACAATTGTGAGTTTATTTCTCACAATTTTGACCTTATAACACGCAATTGCGACTTTATTTCAAGCAATTCGGACTTTATATCTTGCAATTCTGAGAAATAAAGTCAGAATTGCACGACGTAAACTCGTAATTGTGAGATAAAATGTCGCAATTATCTTTTAAAATGTTTTATTCTGTGGCGGAAACAAGCGATTCTGAGAAATTATACAATTGCGAGTTTTTATCTCACAATTCTGAGAAAAGATGTCAGACCTGCGTGATATAAACTCGCAATTGCGAGAAAAAAGTCACAATTGTGAGTTTATTTCTCACAATTTTGACCTTATAACACGGAATTGCGACTTTATTTCAAGCAATTCGGACTTTATATCTCGCAATTCTGAGAAATAAAGTCAGAATTGCACGACGTAAACTCGTAATTGCCAGATAAAAAGTCGCAATTATCTTTTATAATGTTTTATTCTGTGGGGGAAACAAGCGATTCTGAGAAATTATACAATTGCGAGTTTTTATCTCACAATTCTGAGAAAAGATGTCAGACCTGCGTGATATAAACTCGCAATTGCGAGAAAAAAGTCACAATTGTGAGTTTATTTCTCACAATTTTGACCTTATAACACGCAATTGCGACTTTATTTCAAGCAAATCGGACTTTATATCTCGCAATTCTGAGAAATAAAGTCAGAATTGCACGACGTAAACTCGTAATTGTGAGATAAAATGTCGCAATTATCTTTTAAAATGTTTTATTCTGTGGCGGAAACAAGCGATTCTGAGAAATTATACAATTGCGAGTTTTTATCTCACAATTCTGAGAAAAGATGTCAGACCTGCGTGATATAAACTCGCAATTGCGAGAAAAAAGTCACAATTGTGAGTTTATTTCTCACAATTTTGACCTTATAACACGCAATTGCGACTTTATTTCAAGCAATTCGGACTTTATATCTCGCAATTCTGAGAAATAAAGTCAGAATTGCACGACGTAAACTCGTAATTGTGAGATAAAATGTCGCAATTATCTTTTAAAATGTTTTATTCTGTGGCGGAAACAAGCGATTCTGAGAAATTATACAATTGCGAGTTTTTATCTCACAATTCTGAGAAAAGATGTCAGACCTGCGTGATATAAACTCGCAATTGCGAGAAAAAAGTCACAATTGTGAGTTTATTTCTCACAATTTTGACCTTATAACACGCAATTGCGACTTTATTTCAAGCAATTCGGACTTTATATCTCGCAATTCTGAGAAATAAAGTCAGAATTGCACGATGTAAACTCGTAATTGTGAGATAAAATGTCGCAATTATCTTTTAAAATGTTTTATTCTTTGGCGGAAAACCAGTGTCCATAAATACCTGAACCTTCTGCAGGAGCTTGCCCGCCCTGCGGTCGAACAGGGCGACCGTTTTGTCTTTACTGCCTGATAAGATGTACTGGTCATCCGACACCAGGCACAACACAGCATCACTGTGGAGATGAAGACTCTGGACCAATGGATCTGCAGCTGTTACACATAAATAACAGTTGCCAACTAATACAGCTCCAACGGGCACGTGCCGATCACATCACAGTGATTTCACTGGCTTCACAGGAGTCTACGTTTTTGGATAAAGTTTCGTCTGGAACATTTATTATTATTATCAATGTTGAAACTGGTTTGTTAAAACATTTGTTGTAACCTTTTTTTTTTAGAATTCTTTAATGAACAGAAAATTGGAAAAACTTTTTTTTTTTGTATTTTATAAATGTCTTAAGTGTCACTTTTACTTACTAACGCCAAACTTTTGAATGGTAGTTTGATTTTACAGGAAGTGGTTCTTGGAAACGTACCTACCAGTTCATTAAAGTTTGGCCTATATGGTGAACTGGAGTTTTTATTCTGTCATTTGTGAGTATAAAGCGCACAAGCTTTGATTTATTTTTTTAAATAATGCGAATACATTTATACATTTCTAATTGTGGCTTAGTTGTCCAAACATTGCAACAGTAATTTATCACTAAATTCAGGGTTTTAAGCATGAATAATAATTGAAATAAATATTACAAATGTATTTACATCATGTAATGTTGTTATTGTTAACTGAAACTATTCCAAATCATTGTTGGTTACTGAAATAAAGCTAAAATAAAATCTAAATATTAAATGAAAAACTTAATTAAAATATAGAAATATTCCCATGGCAATTAATGAAGCTGAAAAAAAATAAATAAGTCGAAGTACTACAATTACTAAAACGAATAAAAATAAGCTACTTAATATTCAACAATATTATTGATTTGACTTTACTGACGCTGTTGAATGAGAAATGAACTGAGCTGGACGATGACATCACTGTTTTCTCCAAAAGCTGCTTTATAGATGAAATGAACTAATTTAATAATTGATAATCTTTACAACGGAACTGAACAAACGCTGAACAACAGCCGAAATGCATTATTTTCCTGTTATCATCACTGTAAAAATGCTTTGAAAAAAATCTGTATTGTATAAAGCGCTATATAAATAAAGGTGACTTGCCTTAATGAAAATATAAAAAATAAAAGCTAATATCATAAATACAAATAATTTATAAATAGTACTAAAATTCATATGCGATTCATTCCCAGCTAATAAACCATTCACAATAAGACCATGAATGTGCATTAAGAAAACAAAGGGGCTGAACTTTGACTCACCTCGGGTGTCAAAGATGTTCAGTCTCTGATCATGTGACCCGGCCAGCACCGTGTCCCTCTCGCAGGACAGACACAACACAGCCGCTTTGCACTGGATGAGTCCCCGTTCTGCTCCTCCGGCTTCAAGATCCCAGAGCCTCACGGTGCTGTCGAACGAGCCTGACGCCAGCAGAGGTCCGCTGGATGCCAGGCACCACACCCAGCCCCGGTGGGTGCTAATGGTACCCCGTCCCGCTAGAGTGTGCGTTAAGGTGCCTCTGGAGCCGTCTCGAAGGTCCCAGAGGTTCACGTTTCGGTCCCGAGAGCCGGAGGCGCACAACGCCCCTGTTCCACCCAGCAGGAGGACACAGTTCACATCCGCAATGTGGCCAGATGGAAGAATGATGTGCTCCAATGGTGAAGAAGTGCTGGACGACTCAATCAGACTGAGACTATCAGGTGCATTCTGGGATTGAACTTGCATATTTTCATCTCCTGCTTCCGCTGCACCGTTTAAATCGACATCCAGCTGCATCTCTTCCAAGTTCCTCTCAGCTGACGGGACTTCGCCGTTCACCCCGACAACCGCCTCTTCCTGTCTCTCTCCCTCTCCCCGATTCTCCAGCCCTGTCCAGCAGCCAATCAGCTGCTCCATTTCCAAGCAGGCCTGGGACCAATCAAAATCCTCCTTTGGCCCGACTGGGAAAAGTGCTTTGGGACCTGAGAGTTTTTGAGCCCTCAGCTGCCACATCAAGCGATCCTCGCCAACCTTTCCCAACGTCTGACATACCTGAACATAGAAAAAGAGGCAAGCGTGATAATGAGATGTACACTATCATTCAAAAGCTTTCAAACAATCTATAAAAAAATTATACTTTTATTCAGCAAGGATGCATTAATTTGATCAAAAGTGGCAGTAAAGACAATTATAATGTTCAAATAGATTTATACTTTTGAACTTTCTATTCATTAAAGAGTCCTAGGGATTTTTTTTTATCACAGTTTCAACAAAAATACTAAGCAATACTGTTTTCAACATTGATGATGATAATAATAATTGTTTCTTGAGCATCAAATCATCATATTAGACTGATATCTAAAGGATCATGTGACACTGAAGACTGGAGTAATGATGCTGAAAATTCAGATTTGATCACAGGAATAAATTACATTCTACAATATATTCACATAGTGTTATTAAATCGTATTATTAATATTTATAAATGCATTCACAATAGTAAAAACGAATAGGCCCAACAACATGCACATGTACTGAGAGAAGCTTGAATAGGGAAAAAAGTCAGTTTTGGTTTGTAAATGTGTCTTGAATGTGGAAAGGATTACCTGTGGCAGCACATCAATGACACACTGCGCTGGGAGATGTGAGGCGATCTGTGTAACGATCTCCCACGGCAACGACAGGAGGTTTGCCCCATTGCTCGACGGGGAGGGGCTCGTCTCCAAAGCCACGACGGACAGCTCCAAATTCAGTCTGTGGGGCAAAATGTCACAATGCAAGAGTTTACAGCAAAAGGCTGGAATACACGACGCGATTTACAGTCTGGACGAGCCGAAAGTCATAGCCAGTCTGCAGATTTGAGTTGTCATATTCCACAGAAAATCATGTAGACTATCACAGACTATCATACACTACATCATCCAGTCGGAGGAAATCGAACATGTTTGATATTTTGAGCCGATGTTAGAACACAAAATGAGTTTGTTTCTGCGTGAGTCTGCTGTGTTTGTAATGACTCGCAAGTCTGCTAGTGTGTGATCATCAGTTGTTAATAATAATAACTCGTTACATTTATATAGCGCTTTTCTCGGCACTCAAAGCGCTTTACATAGAAGGGGGTGAAATCTCCTCAACCACCACCAATGTGCAGCACCACCTGGATGATGCGACGGCAGACATATTGCGCCAGAACGCCCAACACACACCAGCTTACTGGTGGAGAGGAGACAGTGATGAAGCCAATCAGTATATGGGGATGATTAGGAGGCCATGATGGACAGAGGCCACTGGGCAAATTTGGGATTTTTAAAGACCACAGAGAGTCAGGGCCTCGGTTTAACGTCTCATCCGAAGGACGGTGCTCTTTGACAGTATAGTGTCCCCGTCACTACACTGTGGCGTTAGGACCCACACAGACCACAGGGTGAGCGCCCCCTGCTGGCCTCACTAACACCTCTTCCAGCAGCAACCTGGTTTTCTCAGGAGGTCTCCCAACCAAGTTGTTGAGTGTATGATGCCCAGTTTTTAATCTGTAACTATTTAAAAAGTCAGCCAAGTGTATGATGCCTAGTGATTTAAAATGTCATGAAGTGTATTCCAGCCTTAACTGGTACAGCTCTTTAGAACAAATGTGTGTTTTTATTTTATTTTAAATAAAGTGCTTTGAAAATAAATACATTGAAAGTGCAAACATGCAAAGGCATGAGTATTTTTTCACAATTACACATGCAAACCACAGTAAATTACAATGTATTGTTTATATGTAGCTGAAATATCATTTCATACAGACCTCTGAGATAAGGGGTGTGGGGTGTCATTGGCAGTGGCGGCAGTGGCGGCAGCAGCAGGGCATCTCTCTTTCTTCTTCTCCATCTCTTTCTCCTCATCCTTCTCCTTCTCTTTCTCCTCCAGGGTGTCGTTTAGCCTTGACATCACCTGAAACACAAGAGCATTAAGTGAAGCTGACATCACTTTCTGTTATTCACATTATAATAAACAACTTGATCTGAAAAGATACGTTCTTTAGGCCCATTAATGCTAAATTATTTACTCTGGTTGCCTCTTAAGTTAAAAAATAAATGGTACGGCAAACATGACAACATTACGTTTTTAAGCAATTAACGTATAATTAAAAAAACAGGCTGCTGAAGATAGTGGTATATAAGTTAAAATATATATCGGAAGCAGATTTTTCAAGCAGAAATAAATTAGATGCCAGTTGTGTAATTCGTAAATACTTGCATGTCTAATAAAATAAAAATAGAGAACCGATCGTAATAAATAAATATATAACCTATGGATTGTAATAATCCATATGATTTACTTAAACGTGAGATATAACGGGCACATACCTTATTTTTTAATCAAAAATCTGATTGAAAGGGCAAACGATCAACATTTCTCATCCATCAGGTGTTGTCACGAACTATTGATCATTTTGATATGACTCTGCACAATCATCCGAGTTCAGTCTGCTTTATATCTATGTCCCTTAACGACGTTGTAAGATTTGTGTTAATGAAGAGCATTTATGTTAGAAAAAAAATAAAAAATATAGATGATTGAAACGGCCTTTGGATTAACATTAGATAATATATGACTGACCATAGCTATAACCTGTATGTGACTGGCACATAGACAGTAGGACAGGCACCAGCAGACGCATGTAAACAACACTACCCTCCTCTGGCGCACATCATTTACGTCATCAGTGTTTCCGCGTCGTGCTTCAAAATACATTAAATTATTTCGTTTTTAATAGTAGGCTCTTTCATTTGTATTTTTATTTAATTTTTTTATGTTTTATTAGTATTTATTTTTCGTTCTATTTAATTATTTTGTAATATTCGACAAAAACAAATCCATTAGGCTATTGATTTAAACATTTAATAATATTCAAATTATCCTTAAAAATGTTTTCTGATAAAATACGGAGGAACATGTAGTTTGTTTATTTGTTTAGGGGAGACCGGGGTCACGTAACACTGGGTCAGTTTAACAAGTCAGAAAAGGAGAAAAGAAATTATTCAACATACTCTAACACTTATAATATTGAGGATGAAATATACTGCTTAACAACAATTAAAATGAGATGAGGCAATTTCTGACCATATGTGTGTAAATAGGTGTGAGCTGACTCTGTACACAATGACAGTATGGTCAAAGTCCAGATTCTAACACACACACACACACACACCTGTAGAGACACATACTTCTCATTTCAGAGCCTCTTTTGTTTGCTATTCTTCTGCAATTTTAATTGGCCAATAACTAAGGCACAGAGGTGAAAGCATACTTGAAAATGAAAAATGTATGTTACATTCACTATATGTCACGATCTAAACAAACTACTGAGATATTACAGAAATGTTGTCCCCAATATCAATTGTTACAAACTTGTTGCAGCTGACGATGAATAATTAGTTGGATATTTGGACCACAAAGATGACTTTGTGTAATGTAAAGTAAGAGATAATAATATAGCATACAATGATATTTCTAAAAAAAAAAAAAAAAAACCCGCTATAATAAGCAACATGAATGACAAAAAAAACCCCAAAAATAAACATACAATGTTATTTCTATATTATCTTTTATACATAAGATGCAGCTCAAAGGTCAAAATATAAACAATATTTAGTTTTAAAAGCAAAAAAATAAATATACAGTGTTATATAGCACCTTTTCAAAATGCAACTCAAGGGAAAAAGTATACACAATATTAGAGGAAAAAACATTAAAACAATAACAAGCAACAAGAACGACAACAAATAGTGCTATCAAATCGATTAATCGCGATTAATCACATCTAACATAAAAGTTTGTAAATATATAATATGTGTGTGTATACATATATACACATTTTTTACAAACTTTTATGTTAGATGTGATTAATGAATCACATTAGTGATCAATGATTAGTGATCAATGAATTAATCGATGTGGCAGAACTAATAAAAATGAAAACTAATCAAAACTGATTTCTTCAGGATAACAGAAGCATCAGAAGACCTTCATTTCTCATCTTCAGGGTTTTCTCTCGATCTTTTTATAGCCCTGTTTCACAAATGAGAACTGTAGCAATTTACAGAACGTAACTCAAACCCATAATCTGTCTCCACCTTTAGTATTCAGATGCTTATCATCTTACTTTCCGATGATATTTCAGGGTCCACCCAGTTTCTTATCTTCACATCCTACTCATTTGTACTTCACACTAACTGACACTTCCAAACCAGGGTCAATCTGCTGAGGTGCTACTGATTAGGCAATGAGTAATCAGAAGATGTGGGCGAAAACATGCGGCCCCTCCCTGAACCGCTTCCCTTCCGGGTGAGGTTAGTGTGTGAAGACTAACCAAGAGTTGACACGGACGACGGTAGGGCTGAGAAAAGAGTGGAAAAGCCAAGAATTAAGCAGGTGAGGAGGATCAATTATAGTCCTGCTAGAAAATGCGAGTGTGAGAGATCTGTCGATGACATTTTAAAGGCTGACGCATTGAAATCAAGGTGTAAATCTATATATAATTGACATTTAAGGATCATCATGGTAACCCTGAACACTCAATCTCTGACCGTACCGGTGGGAATAATCCGACTGTTTGAATTTGTGCTGACGCTCATCACCTTCAGCCTGGTGGCTTCGGTGGGCCACAGCAGCTCTTCATTCTGGGCCTGGTGCATGTTCACCTGGTGCTTCTGCTGTTTCATGACCCTCCTCATCATCATCCTGGAGCTCACCAGCCTGAACACCAAGGTGCCCATTTCTTGGGACGACTTCACCACGGCTTTTGCGATGCTGTCCACGCTTATGCTGTTGGCCGCATCGGTCATCTACCCCAAGTTCTTCGTATGCTCCACGTGTGCGACCCAGATCGCAGCCACAGTGATATCCTGCGTGTGTTTCGTCCTGTACGCGGCCGAGGTGGGTCTGACCCGGGCCAAGCCCGGGGAGATCAGCGGGTTCCTGTCCACCGTGCCGGGCTTACTGAAGGTCCTGGAGGCGTTCGTGGCCTGCATCATCTTCATCTCTCTGGAATCGAGCTTCTACCGCATATATCCCGGGCTGCAGTGGTGCGTGGCCGTCTACTCAATCTGCTTCATCGTCTCGCTCCTCATCATCCTCCTGACAATCGGACGCTTGCTGGCTCGATGCCCCTTCCCATTGGACAAGTGTCTGACGGGGTTCAACATACTGGCGGTCCTAATGTACATCACGGCTGTGGTGATATGGCCAATCTACTGTTTTGAGGGCAAGCCAAGATCAATGTTCTGTTTGCCAAACCAAAAATACTGTTTCTGGGACAGCCTGGTTGTTGTGTCCTGCATGACTTGCATCAATCTGATCGTCTACATTGTGGATACGGTTTACTCTGTGCGCCTGGTGTTCTTCGTTTCACCTGCCTAGGGAAACCACGATGGGTGTGTGATACATTGTTATTGCATTGCATCAGATTGGATGAGTCGTTATACAGGAAGTTTTTAGCATGACTGACTGACAGTTTATTGATATTAATGTATTTTGAAACAATGTCGAAATATTTGAGAATATTTAGAAATGTATGATTTGTAACAGTGTCTTTTATCAGTAATCTGATTAACACTGCTGTCAGTGCTGTCAAATCGATTAATCACGATTAATCGCATCTAACATAAAAGTTTGTTTATATAATAGATCTGTGTGTGTGTATGTGTGTGTGTGTGTGTGTTTATATATATATATAGTATAATAGAATCAATTAATCACGATTAATCGCATCTAACAAATATCTAACAAAAGTGTGTAAATAATTAATATATGTGGGTATAAATAAAAATATATACAACACGTATATTTGTATATATATATATATATATATATATATATCAAATTGTTTAATCGCAAATTGTGCATAATTGTATCTAATATAAAAGTTTCTAAATATATAATAGTACACACACACACACACACACACACAGGTATATATATTTACAAACTTTTATGTAAGATGGGATTAATTGGGATTAATAGATATGACAGCACATAGATATACACTGTTACATTTTTTAACAATAAAAAGGCATCTGATTTCTTTTAACTTTGAGTAAATTGGTAATGTATTTTTTATGATACAAAATTTTATTAAGATTATAACATTTGAAATAAATCCCCTTTGCCCTAAGTTTTTCTTTATGTGGTATCTGGTCATTGAAGAGATTCACAGCAATTCTCCTTTGCTATCAGTGTTTTCAAATAAACTGTCCAGTAAAGAAAGATAGAGATAAAACATAGGCTATCAGTTGGTCTTCATCATTATATAATGGCATCATAATTGTCATCATAAAAACGGCGCGGGTGCTCTCTACGTGATGTCAATCCTGGTAAAACTTCACGGTTTTATGGACACCGCCATGTTTGACACTGTCGCTATGCTTACCGCTATGGTTAGTTGGCTAGTTATAATGCGGTTGTGACTTCAGCTGTTTGATCATAAAGCTGAATGAACATATTCTTTAATCTCCTGACTGAACAAAAATAAGGATACTCACTTGTAAGCAGTTGGATGGGTGTATTTCTACCCCAATAGGGTGGTTGTGTAGCCTACACATACTGTGGACATTATTATGTTCAAACAATTTAAAAGTGAATTTTGCATAATATGGGCCCCTTTAAATGACGTATTATCTATTGGATTTTTTTATTTATTACCCAAAACAATTCTTATAGCTACTCTTGTTCAAGTCAACAATACCAGTCTCTATCTATACACATTAACCTTTCAGCTCTATTTCAAATGCCATTAGTTTATCAGCTAGTGCTTCGAATCAAACGTCAATAAAACTTCAGTTTAAACATATCATATTTCAACAGATTAATGCCGTAAGTATGCTAAAGGGGAAATGATGTCATTATGACCTGCTGACTGCTTTAAAAGGTTAGTTTAAATTCAGTTGTTAAGTTTTTAAGTTCTTATTTAGGTTTTTAGTTGTTTTATCTATCAACTATTATATTTGAACTTGGATTTCAGCATGAAAAAATTGCAATAAAAACTGGCATTTAAAACACAACACACATACATAGCTACTATTCACAATGAAATCAAGAAGTATAATGCGACACCTTCTGGTTTTCAAATGTTAGTGGAACATATTGTTATGATCTACAACTGTGATGATAGTTATGATTCGGAGTATCTCAAGCCCATTTCTGCCAAGTAATATAAGAAATATTATTTGGTAAATCATAAGAGATGAGATGAAAAGTCGAATTTATGACAAACTCATAGTTATGACATTAAAAGGAGAGAAATGAGAAAATGTTTGTCATAATTACGACTTTTCATCTCATCATTTTGACTTTTAATACCATAACTTAGACTTTTTATCTCCTAAGTTTACATTTTTGTCTCAACTATGACGGTTTATAACTTATTATATAATCATTTTGAATTTTTACCAAAGCATAATTTATTTTTCTTACGTTGTGGAGATTCTGTATCAAATAAAACTGAAGATGTAACGAAGAGAAAAGCTCATTAAATTATTTTACTAGGTGTAGACAAAGGAAGAGTTATGCCATATAGTTTGCTTTATCTGTAAAACATTCTTGGCCTAAATATAACCCCATACTCTACATCATACTGTTATCAGCACAAGTCAAATAATAACCCAAATGAAACCGTCATGTACACTTCCCCCTGATTAAACCAGTAGATATGTTGAGGAGGGACTGAAGCTCATAGGAGAAGATTAGAAAGAGCCCGGCTCTAGACCAGAGATCAGGGGTTTGGACTCAGCTCATGTGACAACAGCAGACCAGCGACCAATGAGAACCTGCAGAAGGGTCATAAAAGAGATAAGCTCAAAACGGCTCGATTGATGCTTTCTGGTCTAGTGTCAACATGAAACTTGTTTGCTGCCACATCAGAATAAACTGAAGCTTTACCACGAGGAAGAACCTGTCTATTGGTGTTTCAAGAATCCCGCAATGCTTGTGGAATACAAAAACCAGAGGATTAATATTGGATTTGTCATGGATTTGTTGACATTCGTGGCACAATGAAACTGCACCAAGAAGCTCAGAAGAATGTAACGAGCGTCGGGAAAAGGGCGACCTAAAGAAACGAAACATCAAGACTTTTGGGATTTGTGAAACAGTTTCGTCATGTTGCACGTGGATTTCAGGACACTGATTCAGCCTATTGGCATTGTGCGGATACTGGAGGTGGTTCTGACTTGCATCTGCTTTGCATTGGTGGCGTCAACAGGAGTCCCGAACCAGAGTGTGTCCCATTGGGCCTGGTGCATGTTCTGCTGGTGCTTCTGCTGTTTCACAACCCTCCTTATCCTCGTCCTGGAGTTCACCAGCCTCAACACCAAAGTGCTCATATCCTGGGAGGACTTCACCATGGCCTTTGCTATGCTGGCCACGCTTATGATGGTCACCATTTCAATCATCTTTCCCACGTTCTTCGCCTCCTCCTCCTCCAGCTCCAGGCAGATCGGGGCATCCGTGGTGTCCTGGTTGTGTTTCGGACTGTACGCCGGCGAGGTCTGGCTGATCCACAAAAAACCTGGTGAAATCAGCGGCTTTCTGTCCACTGTCCCTGGTCTCCTCAAAATCCTGGAGACCTTTGTCTCCTGCATCATATTCACGTCTTTGAGTCCGGCCGAATATACGAGGTCTCCGGGAACGCAGTGGTGCGTGGCCGTCTACTCCATATGCTTCATTTTTTCACTGCTGATTATTCTCCTCACCATTGCCAAGCTGTTGCACGTCTTTCCGTTTTCTTTCGACAAGGCGGTCATCACCTTCAACATCCTGGCCGTGGCGATGTACGCAACCACTGTTGTTATCTGGCCGCTGTATGCATTTGACCAACGCTCACGTCCAAATATCTGTAACCACTGTCCATGGGATGATCTGGTGGTGGTGACCTTCATGACCGTCATCAACTTCTTGGTATACACTGGAGACATGGCCTACTCGGTTAAAATAGTATTCTTTACCCATCATGAAGAGGGTGGTTAACCCTTCTTTGTTTTCACGTGAGAAAAAACACAATTATTGGATACATCAACTGTAAATTGGGATACTTTTTGCCATTGAGAGGACCCACTGCAGGAAAAATGTCCCAATTATTCGGAATTAACCTTAAGGAGTGGTCAAAACTTAATTTCGAGGCCAAAGAATGCCTGTTGTCCATTTTAAACAGCGACGTTTTAAGGACAGATTATTCATTGGCCACTTTCAACCTGAGCATTGTTATATTGGCCTAGGCTTCAATTCGTGTGTTCAAAGTTGAAAAACTTTGAATCATGTGTGATAGGTTTCGCTTCTTGCGACATATCAGATTGCGCACTGAATTTCGCCATACAAGAGTTATGTGGCCACACCTTAATTAGTAATTCACGACATCAAAAGTTTAGTACAACCGAGTTATTAATTCGCAGACAGTCGAACATGGTTAATATTTATTCATGGTAGGCTATGTTTCATGGGTTAATCATTATATAGCCTAACCTCCAATTTATATCACTCCAGGGCAGGCTTTATAACTTTGTAAAGTGGTTTTTATTTTTGTTACCAGGTTTTTTAAATCTATTGTTGTAGATCCGAAAGGTTGTAATGTATTATGTGAGAAATATTCAGAGATGCTTAGAAGTGTATGAGATTTAGTTGTGTTTTCAATTCGGTTCAAGTCACAGCAGTGTCATAAAAATATGAAGAAATAGTTATGGTTTACCCTGCTGATTTAATCTGAAAGATAAATAATTAAAATAAAAAATGTATAGTTTTACAGTGAGTATGTGTGTTTTATGTTAAAATGACATTTTAAGTAAATGTAATGCTTTTAATACACCTCAATTCACATTGACAAGGTATGTTTTTTTGGCATATTACCCATTACCAAAAATCTGAATATAACTAAATATTAGGAAAGATTATTTTTCTCCAAAAATAATTCAATAAAAGCAGGACAGGAAACAAAGAGAATCAGAATAAAATATTTTTTTATTACAAAAAAATTCCCCCCTAAATATGTGTGTTTTTATACATGAGTACACAGATGTAAAGTATAACCACTATGAACCTCAGATTAGTTTGTTTTTCTTATTGTCAGAAAGGAAGTAGGCCTACAGTAAAAAATATATAAATATGGGGATAAATACAGCCAGAGGACACATGGATGTTCAAACTGTTCTTCATCCATCTGTTAAATGATCTAAAAAAATCTAAATGGATACATTGTGTTTAATTCATCCAAAACATTTTTTGACCATTCACCATTTGAAAACCTTAACAATGACATAAAACACACAAAATGAAACTTTTTGTAAACCAGATGATTGAATATTCTATGCACTATACTTGCTATACTTGGTTTAAATGTTTTGAAATGCAAAACAGAAAAAAAACTATAAAGTTCAAACATTCTAATTTCCAGTGTTATGTATGTGTATATATATATAAAAAATAGACCCTCATGCAGTGCAAACAAAATACCCAGACATTATGACAAAACTTAATGTCTGTAATAATGGTTTTCAAGTCTCCAGGCGAGAGTGACAGTTCAGGTTAGTTTAGGCTTAGGCAAGTCAGAGGTAAACAATATATTTCTGGTCCTAATACATCTACACTCCATAAAGCGCACGTTAAGTTACATCGTCTGTACGTTTGCTCACTAACTGCTCTTGAGGCTCACAATGGCATTGATGAAGAACTCGTACCAGAAGAAAGTGAAGCCTGTGGATACAGCGGCCTTCAGGAGACTCGGGGAGAGTCCCTTAAAATAACCCCGGAGCCCTTCCTCTCTGCCGATCCTCACAACACAGTCTACAAACCCATGATATGTGCGCACCTACACAGAAAATACAAGAAACAAAATTATTCCTTTTGGGGTTTCAAAATCAATAGTTTTGGGTCAGTAACATTTTTAATGTTTTTGAAAGAAGTTTCTTCTGCTCACCAAGGCTACATTTATTTGATCAAAAATAGATCATGATATTGTGAAATATTATTACAATTTAAAATAACAATTTTCTATTTGAATCTTTTAAAAACCTATTTATTCCTGTGATCAAAGCTGAATTTTCAGCATCATTACTCCAGACTTCAGTGTCACATGATCCTTCAGAAATCATTCTGATATGATGATTTGATGCTCAAGAAACATTTCTGATTATCATCAATTCTTATGGAAACCATGAAATATTTCAAGTTCAAAAGAACAGCATTTATTTGCATTGACATTATAAATGTCTTTACTGTCACGTTTGATCAGTTTGATGCATCCATGATGAATACAAATATTAATTTCTTTAAAGAAAAATGTCCATCTTAAGGACCCCATCTAAAGACTTTTGAATGATATTATTCAATATTATTGAACAGTATTTAGCTCAGAAAGGTCTAAAATCTACATAAAACAACAGCAGGTTTAGATAGGATGATGCTAGCGAGCAGAACTAGTTATGTGATAGGGACAGTGATGAACCCCTGTTGGGTTTGAACATACCAAAGTTGGTAAGCAGCTCAGATCTTTAACTACTACCAACCTGTCCAAACTTCATCCTGGCCTGTTCAAATCCACCCACTTGAAGTCTCTTTTTAATCAGGTCGAAAGGATACGTGAGAGTTTTACTGACGACTCCAGCACAACTGCCACTGACCAGACTGTGCAAACCTCCTTAAAACAGACAAAACACCACAGCAACATTTACATCGGGACAGAAAAGCACAAGGTTTAAATCTGCTTTTATAGATATGTACTTTAAGATCATTGTTGTTATAGCCAACTAAATCTATTAAAAATAGCTTCTGGTACTTGAAACATATGGAAGGCATTTTCTGCCAATTTTAAATAAATCAATTAAATGATAAAAATTAAAACTTCCCTCTCTCCCTTACTTGAATAAGCCCTGCCCACTCATTAACATAATTTGCATACACATTGACTGCATTTTATTCTTCAATTCAACAGGGATGACACATTGTCATTGTGGTAATGAAAATGAAATCGTTTAATTTAATTTTGTCACATATTTTGCGTACAGTTAATGAAATGGTTAATCTGGTTTTAGTTTTCAATTTAATTGATTTATTTAAAATTGGCAGAGAAAGCTTTCCATAGAAACACAGGTGAAATAAAATAAAAAATAAATATTAGAAAAAAACTTAATAAATAGTTTAAAGCTAAATAAAAATACAAAAAAATAAAAACTGAAAATATAAAAATAAAAGCTCATTTCATTTTAAATATGAACAAATACAATAATAGTATATAAATGATGCTAAAAGGTTAAAGAAGCATGATCTGACCTCTAGATTTGGAGTCCTGGTGCGCCAGAAGTTTCTTCAGGATATTATAAAAGAAAAACTGCAGGCCTGCGTATGGAAACACGGCCACAAGCGTGGGTGTGAGGCCCCTGTAGAAGGCGAAGGGCCCCTCTGAGCAGAACATGGTGCCGACGGCATGCCTGAGGTTACGATAGATCTGTACATATGAGAAAACCTTTGAATCATGGGAAGTGTCTCATTAAAGCCCATCACAAAGTGAAATGTAGGCACTTCGCACTGGTAACTGACTAGTAATTTATGATTATTACACATTTTATTTATAGGCGCCTTACATGATACTCAAGTGCATCTTACAAACACTCATAAAACAATCAACATTAAACACCAAATAATCATTATTACAGCCTGGACAGATTGGATAAAACTGCCTAAAAAGATGGGTCTTAAAGCAAGATTTAAAAAAATGAAGACTTTAACGGTTTCGCTCATTCTGCGGCAACAAGTTCCATAATTAAGGAGCTGCATGACTAAAGGCTCGGGACGCCACAGAAGCAGTGCGAGTTCAAAGGAGAACAAGTTCTTAAAGGACGAGTAGGAGTGTAGATATGAAGAAGGTTAGATAAGTATGAAGGGGCAAGATTATTGTGCGCCTTGTGAGTAAAAGGAAGGATTTTAAAATCAATACGATATTTAACCGGGAGCCAGTGCAAGTGTTGTAATATGGGAGTAATGTGATCAGCTTGTGCAGATAATTCGAGCAGCTTAATTCAGTAGAGAAGCTTTGAAGGCAGGTCATAATAAAGAGCGTTACAGTTATCAATACGGGAAGTGACTAAAGCATGGACAAGAATCAGTTACCGAGAGAGCCGGACAAGGTTGATTAATATTACGCATGTGGAAATATTCAGAGAGCGCTTGACACTGTTTATATGTGCTTCGATTGATAAAATACTGTCAAAGATGACACCCAAACTTTTAACGTGTTTAGAAATTGATGAATGAAACAGAAAATGATGAATAAAAAAAATAAAAGAGGACCCAAAACTGAGCCCTGCAGAACACCTGTATTGATGAAAGCTTTGATCTAAACTGCTCCAGCTGTACAAACCGAGTACGGCCCGTAAAAGAAGATCAAAACCCAGTCAAAGGTCTACCAATGATTCAAATAGACTCCAATCTGTTTATTTATTTATTCTCTTCATGAGGTAGTGGAATAAATTGGCATAAACTATTTTTCATTCAGATATTTATCATGTATTTCTTTTAATTTTTCACCCTTTCAGATGCATTGTGACATGATTTAGCAGCATTAAAGCTGCAGTCCGCAGTTTTTCCTCTGTCGCCATCTCTGTTCGAAATCTGCCATTGCAGTTATTTGCGGAATTATCAACTTTACGTGAGTTGTACTTCAACACGGCACAGAACGTATGAACACACTGAGGAGAGTGTGAGGCTGTCAGTCGCCACGCCCGTGTGGATACTGGCATTCACAATCATAGATTATTCTTTTTGGAAGTATGACCAGCATAATAATTTTCACCGGAAAATGTCATCTGAACTAGTAAGTAACATCCACTTTTGTTCTGGTTCTGACATTGCAGTAAATCTTTGTAAGTCTTTTGCATTTTACAGCGGGTGAATCTGTTGTCACTGGTGATTGTCGTTTGAACCTTTCTGGATCTGCCATCAAATTGGTAAGTTTAATTATATCAAGTGCTGTGAGAAAAGGCTATAAATCTCCACCTCCCGCATCGTCACACGCAATATAGCCTACTAGCCGAGACTCCTTCTTTATGTGTACAGATGTGACGTAATGACGCAAAGACATGCTCGAATCTTCCGCGGAAATCCACCAGTACCACTGGAATTAAAAACATTATTACAAGCTTACCACTTTGAATCGAGCTAAGGCAAGCAGAAAGTTTTGAACACTGGCTGGTTATGTTTTTTCTCAAAAATGTATTTCGGATCATTTTTTACCCAAAAAAGCTACGGACTGCAGCTTTAAGTAACACATAAAATCCCGGTCCTGAGGTTTGACCCCTGACCTTGGGTTCGCCCTGGGCAGCGAAGCGTGTGCGCAGGGTATCCAGCGGCTGGCAGGTGAAGGTGGCGGAGCAGGCGGCCAAACCGCCACAGAGGAAATGGACTCCTGGGGTCTGGCTGTTATAGGGGGTTTTCCTATGGACCAGCTCTGTCAAGGCCTCGAAACTCGCAAACTAGGACAAAACAGACAAACAGACACAGTGAGTTTCAAGGGAAGGGTCTTGTGAAGGGTTACCGCAAATGATTGATCTATCAAAATCTAAAATACCAAATAGGATAATAATTTTTGCTGCAATTTAAAGGGATAGTTCACCCAAAAATGAAAACGTGTCATCATTTACTCATCCTCATGTTGTTCCAAACCCTGTATGAATTTCTTTCTTCTCTTGAACAATTGTCGGAAATCAAACCGTTGATTTCCATTATATATTTTTTCCATACTATAGAAGTCAATGGTGCCCCACAACTGTTTGATTTCCGTCAATCTTCAAATTCAAAATATCTTCTTTTGTGTTCAGCAGAAGAAAGAAACTCATACAGGTTTGGAACAACATGAGGATGTGTAAATGATGACACGTTTTAATTTTTGGGTGAACTATCCCTTTAAATTGTAGGGAAAAAAAACATTTATTAATTTATTGCTACAACATCAGAATCAGCATTGCCAATGTTAACTAAAAGTAAAACTATTAAAAAAAAGTTTTTGTAATTGAAATAAAATATAAATATTAGATGAAAAGGTTTAGAATTAGAAATGCTGCCTTGGCACTAACTGAAACAAATATCTAAGTTGAAGGAGCCTACTAAAATTACTAAAACAAATTAATTAATGCTACTGTATTTAGAAATATATGTATATACTATAAATAAATAAAAATGACAAAATCAGATATCAAATTTACTAAATATAGTAAAACGAAAACTGAAAATCTAAAAACAAAAGCTCAAAATATTAATAAATATTAAAACTGTAAATAAATAATACTAAAATAACACTGATGAGGATAAAATGTATCTTTATTTACGGCAACAAAACCCTACTGGAACAGAACAGAACAGAACAGAATAGAATAGAATAGAATAGAATAGAATAGAATAGAATAGAATCTTTTTGCTACAAAATCCTGACAGAATAGAGCAAAACAGGATCTTCATTTCTACCCTTACAATAAAAAATTTTTAATAAAAAAAAGTTCAACTCAAGGTCAAAAAACATTTTTATTTGGCTTAACTATTAAACAGGAAGATGATTTAGGCCACATCAGAAGTGTAAATATCCGATTGTATTTTATGCATCTCCAAGTACCTGAACTGCCCCGTAACACACAGACAGCAGCTGGGCAGGAACGTGCCCTTTCCAGAACGCAGGAAGACCTTCTTCGGTCAGAATGCAGCGCGTGGCCTGCCATAAACCCCAGTACTTCCCCTGACGATTCCTCCAGGACACCTGCTCGATCTGCAACTGCGGGAGCGATGCACAAAAGCTCAAAATTATCCTCTTATAGCAGAATCAAAAAGCAGTTTGAGGACTGTAGTTTGAATGTGAAGATTTGAAATGCCTAAAAAAGTGAGACACTGCCACCTTGAGGCCTGTCCATCAGTTGCTAACTACAAAACAAATAAATTCAAGCTTGTTTGTCTGCTTTAAACTGGTTATAAACGCACACCAGACCAGAAGATGCAGTCAATGTGCGGTTTTGAACTTCTTTTCAACTGAGCTCAGTGCCGCTGTGGATTTGGGAGTGGTACTGAAATTCCACAGGAAAAAGTGACTCATGTTCTAGGCATGATGCTGCTGCTTATACACATCAGATGTGCTAGGGAAAGACAGCTTTAGTTGAATGTGTTCATATTTATGCTTTCATTTCATTACTGTGTACAAAATAACAATTGTGAAACTCAACACCCCTTTGGCTCAGTGAAATGAAGCCTCACCTGAAACCTGATTTTGATGACATCCAGAGGGCTGATGAGGGCACGGGTGACCATGCCGGCCGCTGACCCGGCCAGGGCAGCTTCCTCCGGGGATAGAGCCGAACCGGGGGCGCTAGGATCATATCCCACCATTCCTGCTCAGATCATGTGTTAAAAGCACAGCTGGTGCATAGGAGAGAAAAGCATGTGACGTTGATGTGCATGGATGACAACTTCAGAGGAATAAAATGAAATAAAACAAATAATAAAAAATATCATCAATATGACTGGTGGTGTGGATGGATGACAACTACTGTAGAATACAATTAAATACTACAAACAATAAAGAATGCAACAAAAATAATATAGCCTACATTTTTTACATTTAAAGAATTGCCCACCCATTTAACATGACAGCACAGACACAATGGCTGCGTTTCAAAACGTACTGAGCTGCATATCTAGACAGTGTTTAGATGGGCAACGTTAGATGCTGTCGTCTGGTACGTGCCTAAAAATGTTGTCTTGATAAACAGCTCGTTATGGTTTGAGACACAGCCAGTGTTGCCCTACCACTAAATATTCTGAGCGCATGCTTACAAATGTAAACTGGTGAAAACGTAAACCGACCTTTCTTGTGAGCACCTGGTGTGCATCAAGTTCCTCGGTAAAATCTGCTCTTTCTGATGCTCTGTTGTTAGAGGACACCTCATGTTCCCTTCATAGTTACTGCTGAACAGCACACAGATCAATGACAGAGCCGCGCGCGACTGTATTTACTGACCGTGTTTAGTTTCGCACCGAGCACATTGGTTCCTACCTTCATACGTTTCATTTTAGTGTTAATTAAGACTTTTGACTTCATTTTGAATGTATTCATAACGAATTTGACAAAACTTTTATTGATATTAATTTTCAATATACACATCCAACCTCCAATAAATAAAATAAAATATAATTTAATATACAATACAACATTGTTTATCTTTTCAGTCAAGAATTTTATATATATATATATATATATATATGAATTAGTCGTGTGAAGTAATTATAACCAAACTTATTACAATAATTTTTCAAAGATTTCCTTTATTTCATGTTCAGTAGTTCATCAAAACTTGTAAAGGGTGAGATGAAAACATTATTTACCCCAAAATCAAACTTTATTCTCATTATTGAGTACATAATAAAAAAAAAAAATAGAATAGTTAACAAGTGTTGAATATCATAAAAAAAAATAAAGTCTGTCTCGAGGTCAGTATTTTGAGATCCCGCCCACATCCTAGTGTGGTCTGCGCTGATTGGTCACTGACGCGCTGAAAGCACCGCTCCCGGAACTGAGACTAGTGTGATTTTGAAACTAGTGAATGGCGGTGTTTAAACAGGTGGTATAATGTTTATGTTCTCATGACAGGGGGTGAAAAAACATGGATCAGATTGTCAGGGCTCTGTTACTGCTCCTGTTAGTACAGTTACCGGCGTCATTTCATTGCTCAGATACCTTCAGTAGAGATGATGGAGGATGGTGAGAGATAACTTAACTGTTACATGGACAAACATTTCCTATCAATCTCGGGCCGTGTCTCAAAACTTCAGTATGTTTTGTCTTTCAGGGGAATGGATTCCAGTATGGAGGATGAAGGCGAGTGCAACATTGAGATCAGAGATGGGAAGTCAATAACACGCACAGAGTTTATTAAAGAGTAAGAATAACACACATAAACATTTGCAGTTAGTTATTAGCATTTATACATTTAAGTCACGTGTAAGAACCTGATTTTCATTGCTTTTTTTGTATTTTATCCTTATAATGATAATTGTAACATAATATATTATAATATATAATATAACTTTCATATAAAAAATTGTAATGTTGGCTTAGATAGATAGATAGATAGATAGATAGATAGATAGATAGATAGATAGATCATTAAAAGATATAATAAATCAAATAAAATTGTTGTTTTTCTTGTTTGACAGGTATGCTTATGCAAAACCAGTTATACTCAGAGGACTAACAGATAACACCGTAAGAATTGTAGCTATACTGTGCATATGGTGTTTATTGCTCTTATTGATTAATTCCTAACAGTGTTGTGTTGTGATTGGTTGTTTCAGAAGTTCCGCTTCCTGTGTTCCAAATCCAATCTGGTGAGAGAGTACGGAGAGAAAACGGTCCGTCTCAGCACAGCCAATACACACTCATACAGGAAAGGTAGACATATACACACTTTCACATACTTCTGTCTTTTCATGTGCAAACGGTAAGGTTTCGGACGGCGACTTTTGATAATTACTGAGATTTTACAAACATTTGACAGTCTCATGACCCACATTTAGAATAATGGAAACATCCATCCATCCAGTGCATATAGTGTTCATACTATATGGTGCATACAGCACTAACATTTATCAAAATCACAGGAAAACCATAGTTTTGGAAATATTATTACTTTTTAAAATGACTGTTTTGAATGCATGTTAAAATGTAATTTATTCCTGTGATCAAAGCTGTATTTTCAGCATCATTACTCCAGTCTTCAGTGTCACATGATTCTTCAGAAATCATTCTAATATGATGATTTGATCCTCAAGAAACATTTCTTATAATTATCATTGTTGAAAACATTGTTGTGCTGCTTAATGTTTTTGTGCACTGTGTTGCATTCAATATTTTTGAACATTAATTTGAAATATAAATATTTTGTTAACGTCTTTACTGTCGCTTTCGATCACTTTCATGTATCCGTGTAGAATAAAAGTATTATTTTCTTAAAAAAAAAAGAAATTGTGTTGTGTAACCTGTGTTTTCAGACCTATTTCTTTGTCACTTTACAGTGGACGTGCGGTTTGAAGAGTTCGTAAAGGTCCTTTTGACCCCTCAGTCTGAAGACACCCTGGGCAGCGGTCGGTTCTCTCTCATTCTCTGCATCCACGCTCTAAACGTTTTTCACACTGTACATGATCATTTCACACTGTGCGTGCGCATGTTTATTTCAGATACGCTGTACTTCTTTGGGGACAATAACTTCACGGAGTGGCATTCTCTGTTCGAAGAGTATGAAGCGCCACCCTTTTCTCTTCCACTCATGCGTCCTGCATATAGCTTCGGGATTGCTGGTATAGACACATACAGACTCTTCAATCCAGCCAATTTGGGTTTTAGAGTGCACAAACACAAATTTTCACCCCAAAACCACTTCTCTCGCCTGCAGGACCAGGTACTGGTGTCCCGTTTCATTGGCACGGCCCTGGATACTCTGAAGTTATCTATGGCAGGAAGGTCTGTGGAGCTCTACACTTCTTACAGCTAAAGTGCAGATATCATTTTCACTAGACATATATTGATATGCTTCTGTACACAAACAATAGTCTATCCTTGTGTTCTCCAGCGTTGGTTCCTGTACCCCCCTGAAGAGGCACCTGAGTTCCACCCCAACCACACCCATCTGTCCTGGGTCTCTCGGTCCTACCCAAACCTGGAGCTCCACCAGAGGCCCCTGGAGTGCACCATACGACCCGGAGAGGTGAGGTTAACAAACTTTGCAGTCAATTTGACTTTTTGAGCCATGTGCTCTATGTAAAAATTTTTTTTAATGTACTAATTAAAGCATAAAAAATAGCATAATATGTTTGCAGAGATTTAGGAAATGTTAAGTCCACATACTTGCTGTTTTTGCTCTGAAAAACACTACAGCAAGTTATTCCACTTTGAAATGTGCGTGCGGTCTCGATGTGTTTTTGTTTTGTTCCGTGTGACTCCGCCCACCGCCAATTTACCCAATAGTATTTCGACACACCAGGTTGCCAGTTTGCGGAAAACACAGCGTATTTCAGATATAGAAGTCCGCAAGCGAACTGGGTCAGAGATCGCAGATTCTACCTGACCTAAAAACCTCGGCATCCATCTAAAAAAGCACTTTGATCAGATGCATAATTAAAACGTGGATAAATCAACTCATCAACTTACAGGTTAAGGCTCGTCGCCTTCCATTGTCAGTTGCACTGGCTCCTGATGCATGTCCTCAATCTGGCAACCCGTGTGTTTGTGGAGTCTGAGGACGAGGAGTGGGGGAAACCACTCTCTCCAATATTGTGAATTTGGACTGCAGTAACCCATTTCAACCACTAGCTGTCAAATTACTTGCTGCACCTTTAAGGCCTTTATACTTCAAGCGTAAACGAACAAGTAAATGGTGTGATGTCATTTTAAACAAAATCAGCCCAAAACGGGAGTTCGAAACGGCTTGCCAAAGCTTTTCTGGAAAATTGTCTCTGGCTGGTTAATGCATTCGAGCCTCTATTGGTCCATAGTGATTATGTAATTGGTGGGTGTGGCTCTGAGGCTCCGCCTTCTTTGACATCTGTGAGTAAACCTGAACACACTAGAGAGCCGCTTTATAGTAGAAATTTAAGTTGTAAGTCTAAATGAAAGAGACAGTGACACTGTTTTTTTTTTTTTAATACTGTAAAGCTGCTTGATTTTAAGCAATTTATTATTGTATAAAGTGCTATATAAATAAATGTGACTGACTTTACTGGAGTGACGATGCAAAAATCCACAATGCTATGATCAGAAGCTTTCTTAACTGCTGTTTTCTCATTGGCGCTGTCACTTAGTTTTGTTTATTTTGTTATTGAGAGGAAAGAGTGCAGCACATATTTACATATTCATCTAAACGCCGCTGTCAGCAGTGCGGATGGCGTCGGGATGTTCGTTTACGGTATATTGCTCCTCGGGTATTCTGGTATCTAACTTTTATACTTATGTGAAGAATGAAAAAGAACTTCGCTATGTGTTATCGGGCCTTTACACACTTCACTACTAAGCACTAAGTAGTATGGAGGGATTATTGGGTCAGATTGAAAACTAAAAGTCTAAATCGAAAATGAATTTGGTATTTAGGATTGGGCATTTGAAATTTAGGATTGGATATTTGGTCATTTAGCCATTTAGGATTTAGTATTGGGCATTTGAGGATTGAGGAGTGTATGCAAATAAGGAGGCGTGGCCCAAATACTGGAGGCCGGGTTTGAAATGACTGGTGTGCAGAGGCACCTTATGGACAGCAGAGGGAGCTCCCAGTGCTAAGGAGCACACTAATGAAACCAAACTGCAGCGAGGACTGTACCTTATAAGCTGTGCCTGTGTCCCAATTTGAAGGCTACATCCTTCGAAGGCCGCGGACTTCGAAGGATGCAGCCTATTCGTCCTTCGAAGGACGCACCATGTAGCCTTCGTGGGATTTCCTAATTGCGTAACCAGGTGTTCCCAATTACCGCTCCTGGCGCCAAGCAACGGTGCGAGAGTACAGCTGCCATCCTGATCATTCATTTGATAAAACTGAGTAAACTAGCCTGGTTAAAACCAGACCATTCTCAGTTGTAACTGAGTTATGGTCTGGCAAAGCGTCATAGACAAATCATTTCCAGAGGGGCGTCACCAACGGACGTCACGGATAGACCTAAACCCAATCAGAGCGATGAAGGAGATGACGTATGCAGAGCGGCGGAGATACATCTCCGAGTGTTGTTCTTTGCTCGGTTTTTAACAAAAGGGAAACGTTCAAATCGCTTAAAACAGACGCGATAGCTGATTCGAACGAGTGATGTTCGACGGCGGCATCCATCTTTGTAATGTAGGCTACAAAATCTGCTTCAAAATCCCAGCGCTGTCGTCATCGTGTAAAGCCCGCCCCAACGTTTCTGATTGGTGCCTTGATTTCGGCGGATTGGAAATGAGTTTGAATGAGCTCTTTGCCAGACTAACTTTCAGAGCAAATCTAAATTTGCCGGAAGTTGTCTGGGTTTTCCCAGGCTATGAGTAAACAGCTATGGAGCCAGAATTGGCTATTGTCATTTTTTTATTTTTTTTATTTTACTGGAGGACATGGGAGCAGGGGCGTAGCACACACTCCAGCATTGCAATCTTGACATCGCAGCCTGTTATTAGCTGCGTTCACACCAAACGCGAATAGAGCGAAATGTATCGCTATTTAGAGTTTTACTTATTTTTATATCGTGTATTCTCCGTGTAAATTCGTGCACCGAACCGTGACGCCCGTACCGTTTCTGTTCAATACGAATACGTAGCCTACGGTTCATTAAGTTGAAGTTATCACATTATAAAGTACAGTCCTCGCTGCAGCCCTGCTCACTCGCTCTGTTTGGTTTCATTAGTGTGCTCCTTAGCACTGGGAGCGCCCTCTGCTGTCCATAAGGTGCCTCTGCGCACCAGCCATTTCAAACCCAGCCTCCAGTATTTGGGCCACGCCTCCTTATTTGCATACACTCCTCAATCCTCAAATGCCCAATACTAAATCCTAAATGGCTAAATTATTAAATGCCCAATCCTAAATACGAAATTCCCAATCCTAAATGGATAAATGACCAAATGCCCAATCCTAAATACCAAATTCATTTTCGATTTAGACTTTTAGTTTTTGACCTAGACTTTTAGTTTCAAATTTAGACTTTTAGTTTTCAATCTGACCCAATAATCCCTCCATAAAGTAGGGGTTGAAGTCAAAATCACCTATTGTAGAGATTAAACAGTGTTTTTGTGCAGGTGCTGTATTTTCCGGATCGCTGGTGGCATGCAACTCTAAATCTGGACACCAGTGTCTTCATTTCAACTTTTCTGGGTTAAAGACTGATGTGGCGCGGACTTACACACACATATATACACACACACACACACACACACACCATGTCTGTTTGACTTGAAGGCCCGATCAAGGACTGTTGCTCAGAGGACCAGCAGTTTGACTGTCAAATCATCCATCTGTTGATTTTATGAAAAATGTATTTATAAAAGCTAATTTCAATGTGAAATTATTTAAGTAATTTTTGTAAGTACTTTTAAAAAAAGTTGTTTTTAGAGACCTATGATTTGGGGAAGTTGTATTGAAATAAACAGGAAATTGATTGTGGTAGTAAGATGTCTTTAATACATCTATCACAGATGCATCTTCCACATTCAGACTCACAAAAAATACAAATCAGTAAAGAAACAATACACTGAAAAAAATAAGACCTTAAAAATGTTGACAAATGAGAAGCACAAAACATTGGAATCAGTTGATTAAATTAGATTGGAGGCATTGAAATATGTAGGTTATTACTGAAATAGTTGAACCCTTGATATTATTTTTATTTTTCACATTTTAACAAGTTAGATTTGTGTTTGACATCTGCACTTTACAGCAACACACATCTTCAGACTCTATATAAATGATTCTGGCTCTTTTTTAATGCCCCAAAGATGCATTCAGCGACAGTACATGAGCATGAAGATTGCCATATAATAGTGCTTATATAAATGCAGTAGTTTTTATATTCAGGGATTAATCAAGGAAATTAAATGAAAGAATAAAGATGTTTTTGCATTCTGTAGTCTTTTTGCTGATCCAAGTCCAAAGAGAGAGAAAAAAAAACTCTTCCGGCAGAAGACAGTCCTCCAGATGATGTCACTTCCTCCAGACTTGCTGTCCAGCAATGTAGGTTTCCCTGACAGTCAGTGTGTCATCAAGTACTACAAAATCTACAAAACAACCAACATGACTGCAGGCATTTCTTACTAAAGACACCATGAAATCAAAATTGAAAATTCTTGTTGTTTAAGGGAATATTACAGGGTTTATTATAAATGATTTATCCACACACATCTTTTTTTTAATTCATCTGCCTCATAATCTTTAATTAAAATAACTTCCTCTCCCTCTTGCAGCTCGTCTCTTCTCTAATGATGTGTTTACTGGCGTGAGGACGGGATCAACCCGTCACACTCATGAGATCCACCAATAGCAAACCACAACCATCCAATCAATTCCACATGGACAAAATCAAGTCCCGCCCCACATTTACTCTTGTTCGAGAAGCGGTTTCACTCGGATATACGTCACAATAGGGAAGAAAACACATTTATCCAGTGGCCACTATAATGCATTTACCTCTAATAACCACTAAAGTGTGCAACTAGATCTTTATATATTCTAGAATATGTTTCTCTATCAAAGATGATCGCATTCGATGACATAACTTTTGCTGTGATTGCCCTGAGACGCACTAAACAACAAACTGAATGTCAAAAAAGCTTTTTTTCTTAATGCCTACACAAGCTTAATGATTGACTGAAAATCAATCCTGAAAGACGCGGTCATACCTGCATCTGTGCCGTACTCCAGCGTTCCCTTCCTGTGACTGACGCCCAGCATCTGAGCAGGATGAAGAGATGCCGCCTCTAATGCCGCTTCAACAGTGCAACCTACACACACACGTCAGAAAAACAAAACCTCTACGACACGCACACACTACGATTAATGAACACGCCACACTCCATACCCACAAACACACTGACCTGACACCTCTCTGAAGTGTCTCACACACATGTCCATGGTCGCAATGCTGCCGCTTAAAGTTGTAGTGCCTGAAATCATGATGAATGAATGAATAAAACACACTTTACTATCCCCAAAGGGACATTTGTCTTGAACTTGGTGCTGTACAAGTCAGCAAAACACCACAATTATTATATGAATAATACCTTGTAAAGCATTTCACAATAAAAATAATATTCAATAAAAAATAAATGATAAAACATCAGTAAATAATACCTTAAAAAGCATTACATAGTTTAATACAGACAGACACATCAAATACTTAAAATAAAAATGTATATCTTCCGAAGTACTTAAGCAAGGATGCATTAAACTGATCAAAAGTGATAGTAAAGACATTAATAATGTTACAAATGTTTTCTATTATAAATAAAGGCTGTTCTTTTGGTTTTTCTACTCATCAAAAAAATCCTGAAATAAAAAATGTGACAGTTTACACAAAAATACAGCAAATTCCTGAAGGATCATGTGACACTGAAGACTGGAGTAATGATGCTGAAAATACAGCTTTGATCACAGGAATAAATTAGTTTAAAATATATTAAAATAGAAAACAGCTATTTTAAATTGTAATAACATTTCTAGGGCTGTCAAATGATTAATCACGATTAATCACATCCAAAATAAAAGTTTTTTTTACATAATATATGTGGGTGCACTGTGTATAATTATTTTGTATATATATATATAAATACACACATATGCATGTATATTTGAGAAAAAAATATTATTTATATATAAAATATTTATATTTATATATAATATAAATTATATATAAATCTATATACAGAATATACATGAAAATATTTCTTAAATATATACAAGCATGTGTGTGTATTTATATATATAAAATAATTATACACAGTGCACCCACATATATTATGTAAAAAAAACTTTTATTTTGGATGTGATTAATCACGATTAATCATTTGACAGCCCTTAGAGTAGCATTACAGTTTTTTTAATTCAATAAATGGTGCCTTGATGAGCACTCATGAGACTCATGAAAAAAATCTTACAGACACTAAACTTTAGAACTGTACTGTATATCAATATATCGAGTAAATGTATTTAAATAATTCCAGCAAATAGTTACACCCTTATCAAAAATACCCAGATCAACGGCTGTATTTTACAAAGAATTTTTCACAAACTGTTCTGTTGGGAATGCCTTCACCTGCTGAATTGAATTTATCTCAAATAATTGGTGAACAGAACATCCATTTTAACAGTCAAACTAACAGTCAACCTACAATGCCCAAACGAACTCCTAACAATGTATCGCTTAACAGAAATAGAGGCGTTTTGGTTCATTTGCTGCTTAGAATGAAAGCAGGAGGAATATGATGCAGACCTGCGACGTATGCGTGAAGCCCTTGGATGTCGATCTGCTGCTGTCCGAGTGTGTGTCGGCCAGGAGGGAGACCCATCGCTGTCACAGCGTCAGTGACCAACACCAACCCTGACACACACACAAACATACTCTATTCTTACACACAGATTAACTTCATTAGCAATGTATCATAGGTTCCGTATTCTACACACGGATTTGTGGTTGCGTGTTGTGTGTGTATAATACCTGCGGGATGAGCTCTGTGGGCGATGCGCAGCGCTGCGGGATGTGTGTGTATCCCGTCTGAGATCATACCGTAGTAAACAGTCCGACCTGGTGGAATACGATCACTTGTAAGCAATCCCACAATGCCCGGGTCCCGGTGATGAAACTATAACAAAACAAAATGTTAAATACCTGGTGTGTTGCTATGCATAATCATTCATGGTATGCATGTTTGCGTTTAAAAAATATTTATAGATTTTTAAATCGATTTGTTTGCATGGTAGGATAATGTATTAGGAATATGGTGTTATTTTAAACGTTTATGTGTGCACCAACATACAGTATGTTTTCTAATGCGAATAACTGTTAATTAATGCGTGTGTGTGTGTGATACTAACAGGCAACATGGCATTGAATAAGTGTGTGATGAACGTGGCTCCATTCTGCACAGCCTCTTCAGCCTGAGAGAGATCAGCCATAGAGTGACCTGGACAGAGAAGCACTTTGGACATGCTCAACCTGGAGGAAATTTAATAGCAAAAATAAAGCCTGTGTAAACATATGTACGCACCTACTGACACGGCTATGCCCCTTCCTGCCAGTTCACGGATTGCAGCCGCGCTGTTGGCCAGTTCTGGTGCGAGTGTTACCATTGCGACATTGTCCAGGGGGCCGTAGGTCTCCAACAGGTCGGCCACGCCGCCGGCTTTAAACGTGCGGAGGAACTTCGGAGGGTGAGCGCCTCTCTTCTCTTCACTGATGAACGGCCCCTCCAGGTGAATACCTGAAACAAACAGGAGGAAAAACATTAAACAAAAAATTATTTGGCATCATTTAGTTAAAGGTGCAGTATGTATGCTTTCCACCAACTGGCAACCCGGGTGTTGAAATACTATTGGGTGAATTGGCAGTGGGCGGAGTCACTCAGACCAAAACAAAAACAGACATTCTGACATGAAACACATATTTCAAAGTGACATAACTGGCTGTTATATTGTTTTTCTGAGAAACAAGTATTTGAATTTAGCGTGTTTCCTAGATTTCTGCAAACATATTTTTATGATTTAGTACATTCAAAAGAATTACACACAGCAGCTTTAAAGTTTTAGAAATTTGACTAGGTCTGTCTGTGTGCATCTTACCTAAAACTCCTGCCCCTTCAGGGCCTCCATCTTGTTCTCTGAGCTCAGGAATGACCTGTGGAGAGAAAGACAGCAACATTAGTAATGCTAAATATAGGTGATATATGTGAATATATACATGACACTGTTCCTTTATAAGTGTGATGCAAAACAAGTGTGTGAGCATTGAACTGAAATTGAACAAGAAGCATGAAAGGTGCTTCATGGAAACTACAAACACTACCGCTCAAAAGTTTGGGTTTGGGGTCAGCAAGATTTTTCTTTTGAAAGAAGTTAAAAGTTTTATTCAGAAAGCATGCATTCAATTGATCAAAAGTGACAGTAAATACATTTATTATGTTACAAAAAGATTTCTATTTCAAATAAATGCTGTTCTTTTACTTTCTATTCATCAAAGAATCCTGAAAAAAATACATCACGGTTTCCATAAAAATATTAAGCAGGACAACTGTTTTAAACATTGAATAATAATCATCAACTCAGCATATTAGAATGATTTCTGATCATATTAGAATGATCCTTCATGTGACGCTGAAGAGTTATGATGCTGAAAATTCAGCTTTGATCACAGGAATAAATGACATTTTGCAATCTATTCAAATAGAAAACTGTTTTTTTTAATTGTAATATTTCATAATATTACAGCTTTTACTGTATATTTGATCAAATAAATGCAGCCTTGTTGAGCATAAGTGACTTCTTTCAAAAACATAAAAAAAATACCATTATTACCAAAATTACCAACCCCGAACTTTTAAACAATAGTGTATGCTACATTGTTTAATTATTCCAGGAGGTACCTGATGATGCAAGAGATGAAAACATTAAAGTGCCAATAAAAACACAGTACCAACACATGTCAATCCTAGGCTTAGCCTAAAGGAAAATATCAACAGCGATGTATTTGTGGGTGCGATTGAGCATCTGAGAGACAAATGAAGGGCAGTGATTGGTGCATAGGTTGAACCTTATGGTATATGTCTGGTGGAGACGTGACGAGAGTGGGGCAAAAGGAAGTGACGCCCTGTTCAAGAATCTTTTTGGCCACCACAGCCACGCCCCCTCTGATGTCACTGCTGGCCTGGGAGAAGTCAATGCCATATCCACCTATGAGTGAGAAGAGGGGAGGAGCTTGGCATGATATGATATCAGTTACAAAAAGAACGACACAGTGATTTTTACACTAACTGGTGAATGTAACAATGGCAATGTGTACTGTATGTGTAGTTTACCATTTATCTGTACATCTATGAATCCAGGTGCAATTATCTTTTTCTCGCAGTCAACTTTGTGATCGGCAAACCCCTCCTCATCGAAGAACAGCTTCTCTGGGTTCAAAATCTTGCCCGCACGAACCCACAGGTCTTCCCTACAAAATCAGATTTCCCCTCAAAATTGCTGTCAAAAATGTGCAATAAGATTCCATCTAGGCTCAACTAAAAGTCTATGCTTGAGATGGTATAATCAGGTTTAGAAACAAATTATTACATCAAGTATAATATAATACATTATCCAAAATCTATCAGTATTTATGGAGACTGTAAAGGCCTGTTAGGTTCAAATATGTGAGAATGCACGTGAATCTAGGCTTGGTTGCAACACATTTTTATATAATTTTATACAATTGTCAGGAAATTAGGGGTTTGTACACAATAATTAGAATCTGTGTGATATGTTACCATTGCAGCTTGTGGTCCTTCAGTATCCTACAGTTCACAAACTGTGTGATCGGGGCATCTGAGACACTCTTATTGGACGGCATCTCTCCTGAAATCCCACCCATACACTTAAAAACACCCTATGAAAAGAGTCAGAATATGTGTCAGGTCTTCAAAGTGGATCATATTAGTTATTAAATGTACATACATTTACATATATAATTAATTAAGAACCTATTCAATTATGTATGTTTATGACAACTGTGATGTGGACTTTCTTAAGGTACTTTTTTCGTATTAAAAGTGCTATAGAAATAAACTGAGTTGACCTCCATAAAACACAATGAACTAAAGATCGTTGCCCTTTTGAACGCATTTTTTGTTTTTATGACAGAATATTTAACTTTGAACGGTCAAACCAATTTTCCTGTTAAAGAAACCTGCCATGTTTATATGGACTACCAGATCTGTCGAAAATTGCATTGTGATTATTATTTCTGATTATTTAATACATAATGGCAGTATGGCACCGATTTTAAAACATCACACAAGCGGAGCTTTTGATCACTATGTTAATGATGCAGCATACAGTAAACAAACACACCGGAAGAAATGATCGAGCTCTTCATTTATTCATCTTAAGGATACCGGAAGATGACACGCATATGATCATAGGTTGTAGTTTCATAAACACTTACCGTTAATTCACATACTTTTACTATGATTCGGTCCGCGCGCTAGTTTTCTGTAGGAAGTCAGTGAGCCCAGTGTGTCACGCGCGCTGTGTCAGCTGATGAGGAGGCGTGGCCACAGTGCACGCGCCTAGAACGTGTTTAAAACCGCAAATTAATATTGATCAATAAAGTTGACATATCTGTTTAATATATGTTACATAACGTTTCATAATTTACTTAATAACAACATTTAAATTTAGCGCAAATCAATTAAATTGCTGAATACATGTTGTAAAACTTGGCATGTTTACTGTTTTCAAAAAAAAAAAAAAAAGGGTAGGCTATTCTTTTTAAAACAGTGTCAATAAACAGCAGGTTTTCTTTCTGACAACTTACCCCATATAGGTCAATGTGTGTTCAATGAACAGTAGCCTATTTTTGGACAATAAAGGTGAACATTTTAAATAGATTTTGTATGCAAGATAGATTCTGATGTAACTGGATTTGTCTGTAGCAACAGAAATGTAAACAATAGCTCAATTTAACATAATAAGCAAATCAAATAAAGGCAAATGCAGTATGAGCCAAACTTATCCAAATGACAACAGAGATCTTTTCATTCAACCTGTGTGGGTTTGTAAACCACTGACACTAATAATGTCAAGCACAGTAATAAGGTTACTGGATCTCACCCACTCTGTGTGCAGTGAGGCTACACATTGTTTATTTTTTGTGCTTATTAATATCAAAGGACAGATTTGAGTTGCCGGCTTAACCCTCGGGACAGAAACCGCTCACACCTGCGTCATTACTGTTGGGAACAGCACTGTAGGGCGAAACACACGCTTTCATTTCCCTTGAACCTCTAACCTATGTCAGACAGCGTGCTTCTCACATTCACAACATCACACATTAAGAAAAAACAGAGCAAACAAACTCTCTTCATTACTAAAACAACATGTCAGAGTATGGAAGGTTATGTTGTTGTTGTCTTGAAGTTTGTTAAAAGCTTTGAACAGTCAATTATGAAATCCATTTTCCATTTTAGAGTGATATAGTTAATGTACATGCAGTCCTATAGACACAGATGCTTGAAACACTAAACAAACAAATTTATGAGCAGTATTCGTGAACGCAACAATATTTTGAGCATTGTTTGTGAATGTAATTATAACCAAAGGGTTCAAATAAACCAAGGGTTAAATTGAGAGGGGAAATTATCCAAGGGTTAAAATTAATAGGAAAATAAGGACATATCATGTTAAATGACACATTTTTCATACTATTAATGATTGTTAATTATATTTATGAAATACTTAGTTTATTAAACCGTTCAGTTAAAACTCATATAAATAAACCTGTCCAATGTTGTATTTTAATAAAACCGCAATAAACAGGAAAATATAGTGATATTAATAAGACAGTATGTTAGAAGACATGCAATTATGACAGCGCTGATTTTGAATTTTATTTATTGGAAACACGCACAAATCCTTAAGCATGTCCTAAATAATTTTCTAAATTACTATTATTCAAATCTAATTCATTTTGAGAGTAAAGGGATGATCTATGGTTAAAATCCTTAGAAGTCAGTATGTTATGATCTCTCTCTCAGCATTGGTTATGGGCTTTTCCATATATTTGTCTTCATATACTGTAATTATGCATGTGTGTGTTGTCTTCGTCTGTCTAGGAGATCAAGCGTCACCTCACTGAAGGCTGGCTTGGCATGCTTGACCTGATGATTAGATTTATTAAAAAGCGTGGGTGAGGTGTGTGTTTGTTGTTCATTGTGTGTGTGTGTGTGTGTGTGTGGATGTTTTAAGGGGGTGTCACTGACGTAGATCCTTCAGGCATAAACTCAGTGTTCGTTATAGGTCAGAGGTTGAGCAGTGAGCTAATTGATTAATTTAAAGTGATAAAATGCGTCATTCATTCAATGTGTGACAAAGTGTCAACTTCAAGGCCGCGCATCACAATCGCTGTCACGTAGATGGTCACATTCAAACCTTTTAGTATCTCATGGTCAAGATTATAGGGAATCTGAGGTATGTGTGTGTGTGTGTGTGTGTGTGTGTGTGTCAGGCCTGTTTAACATCAGCAAACTATAAATGTGCTTCAATGAGCCTGGAAATCTGTGTAATTAATTAACCTGAAGTTACGTCATTCTCTGCTCATTGTAGTAGAGCATCAACCAACAGCTTATGAAGTTGCAGGTTTTTATCTTCAACTAAAAAAATAAATGTAAAAAACTGGTCTCATTTGATAACATTAGTTATTTATTAAAAAGTTAGCATTAACCAAATGTTGATAACATTAGTTATTTATTAAAAAGTTAGCATTAACCAAACTAACAATGTGGAACATATTCTTACAGCATTTATTAACAAAAATGTTAAAGGGATACAACCAAAATGAAAATTATCCTGTAATTTACTCACACTCAAGCCATTCTAGACTTTCTCTTTCAGACGAACACAATGGGAGTGATATGAAAAAATATCCTTGCTCTTCCACGCTTTATAATGGAGTGAATGTACCTTGTTTTTTTAAGCAAAAAAAGCACATCCATCCATCATCATAAAAGTAATCATTTGACACCAGGGGGTTAATGAAGGCCTTCCAAGCCATGCATTTCTGTAAGACAAATATCCATATGTCAAGTTCCGGAGGCCGTTGCCAGAAGCCAGTGATTAAAGTTTATAAAGTTATAAATGGATTATTTTTCTATATTTTTTCTCTCTCTCTCTCTCTCTCTCTCTCTCTCTCTCTCTCTCTCTCTCTCTCTCTCTCTCTCTCTCTCTCTCTCTCTCTCTCTCTCTCTCTCTCTCTCTCTCTCTCTCTCTCTCTCTCTCTCTCTCTCTCTCTCTCTCTCTCTCTCTCTCTCTCTCTCTCTCTCTCTCTCTCTCTCTCTCCTCTCTCTCTCTCTCTCTCTCTCTCTCTCTCTCTCTCTCTCTCTCTCTCTCTCTCTCTCTCTCTCTCTCTATATATATATATATATATATATTCAATTCAATTAAATTCAAATTTTTTTGTATAGCGCTTTTCACAATACATATTGTTTCAAAGCAGCTTTACAGAAAGTGCATTTCAGAAATGTACATCGAAAAATACAGTTAGTTAATCATGTATTAATTTAGGGCATAACATATCGCCGGCATTGAGTCGTCTCTTCACAGGCGTTTAGTCGTCTCATCGCAGGTGTTGGGGTACCTGAAGTCTCCATGAGAGGCTGGATACAAACTGGAGCTGACGAATGCTATTTACCAAACAGATGGGAAATAATTAGCGTAGCTGCTGTTCATAATATTAATGCATTTGATCTGATTCAACAGTGGAATAAAAGGTAAGCATTATGTGAATGCTTGGCTAAAGAGATGCGTCTTTAATAGTTTTAAACTGGGACAGCGAGTCTGAGCCTCGAACAATATCAGGAAGGCTATTCCAGAGTTTAGGAGCTAAATGTGAGAACGCTGAAAAATCTTGTGAGTATTCACTCTAATTGCTAGTTCAGGTTTGGCTGAAGGCTGCAGTTTGTCCGGTCAGAACAATGATGTCTCACTCAGGTTATATTCCAAATCGTAGGTTTATTAAATGTGCATAGATGTGTGGTTCTGTGAATACAAAATAAAGATATAAATATATATAAATGTATATAAATCACAAACAACTTATTTGGTAAAATACTGACAAATAGCGGTGAAATATAACACAATACAATCTCTATGATGATATACTTGAAAAAGTGGGAATGGATGTGTGTGCGCTAACGCTGTACACGAGCTGTGCACGAGCTGTGCATGAGCTGTGCATGCGAGCATGGCTACTGCTACATGTGCGGTCGAACCGAGATGTAAACAACTGAGCGCATACGCGCGACCTGAGATACAACCGTGCATTGGTGATAAGGAATAAATATAACTAGAATACGTATAACATCAATATACATGGAATGGCAGTAATGTCACAGCAGTAGAATATAATTAAGTAAACAACCTTAAATGTAAACACAGCTACAGGCGGATTAGCATGCGCTGAGAACGTTCAACAATTATGTGATTACTTACAGTGTGATGCACGCACACGCACAATCGATAAATCTCCTTCGATTTGGGCTAATGCACTCTATTTCACTCTACAAACTATATACAGTATTCAGCCGATCTCCATTTCCCTTTATTATCCGTCTACTCTCTTCCCCTTCACTTCGCGAACTCCGGTGGAAAGTTTGGAACAGTCCATTTCTCGCTGAATGACAGGGGTGACTGGGAGAGTCCATGTGCCCAAGGGGAGCACTTTCTACAGCCGCCCCCAAATTCACAGTGTGAATTTGCCAACTTTAAGTGACTTTGCTACATTAAATCTAAAGCTAGTCGGGAAGAGAGGGCAGACAAATAATTTTGGCTACAGGTCGGGTGTAAGTTTTGCCGTTAACCTGTATTTCCGCAGATCTGACTCTCTTGTCCAACCCAGGAAAGACCTGAACAATTATCCCTACGGGCCAAAGAGCGCGGGGCAGTTGTTGGTCCACGATCATGACTGTGTCACCGACTTGCAGGTCAGCTTCTTCAGTCCTCCATTTCTGTCTGATTTGGAGGTTGGGTAGGTAGTGCTGAATAAAGTGCCTCCAAAAGTGGTCAGCCAAGAGCTGGCTATGTCTCCATCTCTTACGGCTCAGGAGTTCAGAGTTTTGGTATACCACTTGCGGTAATGAGGCATCTCGCCGCCCCATCAACAAGATGTTTGGAGTAACTGGATCTGGATCCGCGATGTCCGAAGAAGTGTAGCCAATGGGTTTGGAGTTGAGGATTCCTTCTATTTCTATGAAGACAGTTCTCAGCACTTCTTCTGTGACTGTCTGGCTGCCAATGGTGACGTGAAGTGCAGCCTTTAAAGAACGAATTTCTCTCTCCCAACATCCACCGAAATGGGGTGAACTGGGTGGATTAAAGATGAATCTTATTTGTTGGCTGGCGAGTTGGGCTTGAAGCTCAGGGTGAAGGGCGATGAATGACTCTTTCAGTTCCCTTTCTCCTCCTTTAAAGTTGGTGCCTTGGTCAGACAGGAGCTCAAATGGTTTACCACGCCTGGAGATGAATCGTCGTAAAGCCATCAAGA